GATATAGGGTAGGCTGGTATATAAAAGAGGGGAATGTAATGCGTGTGCGTAGTCAGTGAGTAATTGAACTGCAGTCAGAGAGAGACGTATTGTTGTAGTTAACGTTCGTTCGTTATTATAGTTTGTTATAACGCGATTGTTGAAGTTGAGTGTATCGTAGAGTTGTATTCGGAAAGAATAAACCAGTTTTATTAAGTAAAGACTTGTGTCGTTAAGTTTCGTCGGAACGAAGTTACGGAAAGTTAATTAACAAATGGAGACGTAACAATATAGTTTTACTTTCTTAGAACTTTCAAGTTCTCTAGTAACTTTAAGGTTACCTTTCATTTTCATTTGTGTTGGCGCCGTTTGGCTTTCGTCTGTAATTTAATTAAGTACTCGTTTAAGTTCACCTGTGAGAAAATTATGCATAAGTTGTTCCACAAGATAATGGAGCTAAGGACTGTATTTGTAGTATGGTTTATTATTAGTGTGGTGAAATCTAAGTGGGAACTTGGATTTTACAGAAGCTAAAATGAAGGTTAATTGTATTGTTTTACATTTTAACTTAAGGACACCTTCTTTTAGTGATTATCTCTCTTATACACTAGCCTAAGTTACAGGGGAGAACATGTACTAGCATAAACATATTATTTAATAAAGTCTTTGTTGCTCTTGTTAGTCCCTTTTTGTCACATATTTAAACACACGATCATTTGCCTTTCATTGTATAATACTGCATTTTTGGTCTTCTAAACTGCGAAGATCTCCATTAAATATTTGTTCCTTGGATAAACCTTTGTCTTGCTTCATTCGTTTTGTCCCAATCATCAGGAAACACACCTGTATACAAGATCCACGTATCTCATGTTTTTGTGAGCATGGATTTCTCTGCTTTGTCGGAAATCCTCGAGATACCACAGAGCAGAGAACGAAGGTGCGAAATATTTTGATGCTGTGACCAGGACCTGATTATTGTGGTTGTGAAGTATTTGATGAGAGGGACAGAAAAACCACACGGGTTTATTAGGAAGATGGTAAGTGTACCAGAGAGCATGATTGAAATGATATTCTCTACACAACGAAGGATAAATGATCTGTTGGAAGATAAATCACAAGCTAAGAGAGGGTGACAAGCATAGTCGTCAGATTCAAGGAAAGCCTTCTCCTACATATGGAATTTTAGCTGTTCCTGCAAACAATCTCTACAGACCTTCCCTTTACTGCTACTGACTCTTGAGACAAAATAACATGGGTCTCCTGGAGCACCCAGAAGGCCTTATGAAGTTTCCCCTAATGTTAAACTTTTGGAAACTAGAAAAATCTCTTGAATCTCACTGTTCACAGATGGCAGCATATTACCTACTGTAACTGTTGGAAGACAACTTATGGAAGTGGACTGTATGTTTGCAATAGTAACGAAGCACGTGCCTGAGATGATCAGTTAGAATCTACTAGTGCACACGATTATGTATTTAATTGAGATGTTTACATACATGAAAATATGAAACAAACATAGTGAACGTATAGAGATCAACCTATGATGGAGAATGCAAGAGTTTGGTCAGACTGTTAAGGCAGTGTATAAAGTTAACTAAATACTGGTCTGACAAACACTAATTGAAGCAGCAGCGAGACTGCTGGTTTCAACATAGTAAAGAAGTAAAAATTCAGTTTTGACATTCATGTTTACAGGTATCGTGTTTTGCCAGAAAAGATGAAGATAACATAGTTTCCCAATACATGTGTACACGAACATGGTTTGAATTGTGTTTAGCAAATTTTAGTGAGCTGTGTGTTTGTTTTGTACTGAAACATAAATGAGGAAGTACAATTGTCTGTGAAATGTGAATCTAGACCAGTATGCCTATGCACGACAATTTACCTCGAGACAATCCGAGGTTTTGTTTGTTGTTCAGGACTATTTTGATCAACAGATTAAAATATTTTAAGAACTCAATTTTCTTAATTATGTTCTCAACATAAATCAATACAATCTCAGTTCTGCATGAAAATGTAGGCTGTGATGCCCCAGACAAAATATGATATCTTTGTGAGAGCTGGATATTCTTGTCTTCTGCAAAGTTTGTTGTTGATCAAAGTCGACAAGGAGAGGAGACAGAGATGATAATAAATTCTCACAGACTGAGGTCAACACCCATGTGATATTTGATCTATATCAGTCACTAATGTGGATACTTTCAATCCCCCATTTCTTTCCTACTGGATCTGGGATCTGTTAGTTAATAACTAGACAGTTGTAGAGGTAATGTGGTGAAGTGCTAGTTGCAGACCATCAGTGAGGCTGCACCAACATAGGAGGCATATGAGGTTATGTTTGAGTTTGTTATTCAAGGGTGCCGAGTTAGCAGAAATATTATGGTCTGAATAAAAGTGAGCATGTAGCCCATAGACACGGAGCCTGACCCCACATTTCATTTTTTATTTTTCACTATGCCCTGATAGGTATTCTAGGATGAAGTTTGTTTTTGTAACAGGGATAGTACTGCTTTAACCTACGCTTTTGACTGAGTTCCTCTGACCAATTGGCATTTGTTTAACCCTGCATTTTCAAACCTGACTTTACCTATTTAAGATAAAGATCTTAACCCTATTGGCTATATTTATCCTTTAAACTGGCCATTGATGTTTTTTGAGTATTCTCTGTTGCAGATAACTCCCTGGAATTGCTGACATGAATGGAACTAATGGTGAGTCTTTTCCTTTGGACTTTATTAATACTATGGAGTTTCCAATACTGCCTTCAATGCCTGGGGTTGAACCTGCTTTCATGTTCTTACAGCTGATAGATGAAGATGTAGTGATGGACAAGTCATCAGGCATACAGCCTCTGAAGGCAGTAACTGTGGGCCTGGCCCTCTGGACTGAAGTGTGTCCTAAGTCACTTCCAGCCACTCTCACTATTGGTTGTCCTAACAACACCTGATATAAGGTGCCAGAGAAAGTGAGCTTGAACGAGTCTCATGATAACTAGTGTGCCAATCACCCAGCTGCTTACTACTACAATGTCCCACATCTATATGAATAAGATGCCACAAAATCGTATAAAGAATAAGAAACGACACAATTAGGAGCATTACAGAAAGCAACTAAAGTGCCTCATTATGAGAAACAACAGACACAGTATGTGAGCACACCTTCAATGGGATCATAAGATCCAGCACCCTAGTAGAAGCTTTTCACCACTAAAATCAATGAAATAAAGAACTAAACTTTGACAAGACCATTCATTCTGTCACCTCCACAATGTTGACAACCATAACACCAGCTAAAACTTATTTCCAAAGTGGCAGTCACCAATGTGGCTACAATGATGATGGTACAACCAGCTGCAGCAATAGTGACCACCAGGTTCAGCACAAAGACATCTGCTTCAATCATTCCACTGGTCATGGCTCCTAAAAAAACATTGGAAATAGTAGAGCTTTCAATAAAGCCCCAACCAATGTATGCTAGTGACACACTGCAACAGATCACAATTTTGATGTGGCACTGTAAATATCAGGCAGCTAGAGACCTGGGCTCTTTGTAATTGAGAGGAAGACAGTTTTTTAAAGCAACAAGAACCAACAGTGCAGTTGGAGAAAGTGTATCAACTCTAAAAAGATGTCAAACTCGCAAAACCATTACAAAAACTAAGGAGATTATACACCAAATCACCATAGCTGCATTTGAGGACATACTGTTGAATATAATTTAGGTGAGTTAAACTATCCTCTTCACCTAAAATGTAAATAGTTTGTTATATCACTGTGTAGAGACATGAACTACGTTTTTGTATAGTTAACGTTTAATTATTATTTTTCTGTATGTTTCCTTTCTTTTGGTTCAGTGTATATGTGTTGACGTGGAGTTAAAATGGTTTCTAATTAACATTCTCTGTATTGCAATGTCAAAGGATCTTATTTTAAAGTGCACTATTTTTGCTAAATGTTTTTTGTATTTAATATGTTGTACTGTCATTGTTAAAGGGCCAATTCTTATATGTATCATTGTTAAAAAGTCAATTTTCATATGTAAAATTATTTTTGATGTTATGTGCAGTACCACCATCTTTTTGTTAAGAGGTTTCATTTTCCAATGTAATGTCAGAGTTAAAGAGCAATTCAATGATTAACTTTATCTTTGTTAAAGAATTCTTATATTATTTTTGTTTTCTTCTATAATTGAAAAGCCTGTTAGACCCCCTCTTTCCTTAATGGGGTGGATAAGATTTGTAACATAATTAGTGTTGTTTCATAATGTTTATTTCTAAGTATTATCGAGTAAGTGATTTACAGAGTAAGATTTAATAATCTTTTTTTTAGTCTTGAGGTTAGGGATTGTCCAAAAAGAAGGAGGGGGATTGCAGTAGCAGGCTTTACTACACGTTTTCCTCTCCTTTTAATTTAATGTTAAGTTCACAAAATTTTTCTTCTTTCCTAGGATTCCTAAAGCTGGAACATATTATTGCTTATGCAAATTTCTAACTTTAGCAATTCCCAGGGGATTATTGGGTCAAGTAGAGATTAGGCACCTCTCTTGTCTGATTCTTTTGTAGGAATAACAATGAAATTTTTAGCTAGCATGCAGAGCTACTCTTCTCAGTGAATCAGGCAGTAGTTGCAGGTGAAATCATTCATTATCTTTATTTCCCAACAGCCAAATGATCCAACAGGCATCAATTTTTCTTGTGTCAGAAATCTGAGGGTTTACCACCATATTTAAAACAGTGTTGGAACCTGAGAGAACAGATTTTCCACAGATATCACCTGGATTTGATATAGATTTTCAGTAAATTTTCATCTGTATAGATTTTAAAAGATCTTTATGTAGAATAATAGAGGTAGTTTCATTTGGACTAAAACAATGTTTTAGCAGTTTTCCTGTAACATCAACTTATACAACAGATATCTTTAAAGTTCTCACTTTCGATTGATGGTAGCAGGTATGGGTAGTTTAATGTAGCTTTACTCTCCGAAAACTCTTCAAGTTCTCTTGTAACTTTAAGGTTGACTTTCATTTTCAGTTGTATGGGATCGATTTGGCTTCTCTATTATGTAATTAAGTAGTTGTTTAAGTTCGCCGGTGAGAAAATTATGCATAACTCTTTTCTGGTCACACATACAAATACAAGATAGCTTCCCTTGTATTGTATAATACTGCATTGTTGTTTTGCGTAAACTGCGAAGATCTCCATTACATATTTGTTTTTTGTATAAATCTCTCGTCTCATTCCTTGCGGCCCAATTATAACTATCATTTACAATTAATTTTCTGAAATATATTTAGTAAGTAACAATATACTTTTATTAATGTTGGATACTTTTTTGCAAATACACTTGTAACAGAAAGTCCAAAATAAATACCATATATCTATTGGTTCATTAAGCCTTTTGAGTGTTGAGTTATTGTCTACAAATGTACAAATTACTCTTATAATCTACATTTGCATAAACTAAAATAAAATCCACTTATTCTAATCATAAGTAAGGTATCTTCTGTTTATTTTTATGGATAAAATGTCTGGAGGATCTGGTTGAAACATTCTGATGCTTTTCCTTATTCAAGATTTCCAAATATGTTATTCATAAAGAAAAGGCTACAATCCAACTGCTATGTCTTTCCTATAAGAATTTTTCATCATTTCATTGTGCTTTATGAGGAACAAAAAAGCTGTGTGTACAAACTTTGATTAGTTAGCAACTATACTACTAGGAGCACAAAGTTTTGCAAATGGTTTATTCTATTCTATTACAGCCAACATAATATATAAGATGCTATTTCTAACTTCATGATCATAATCTAAACAAAGTTGTTTGAAAACTTCTACAAGCTACATTAGGTGGGCGAAGTTCTTTTACTCTATCCTAAATGATCCCTAACCCACTTCCTAAATCTTCTTTTACACATAATCTTCAAAACATATGATGTGAAAAATAAAAATTGCATATGAATAATAATAAAAATTACACCAGAGAGCACCACAGCATAAAGACAAGTTTATACATCTTTAAACTTCAAGCAAGTGCAGTTTATTGAAGTTTCAATGCTAGTAAAATTTACTTTGCCCAAGTTAAGTTTATAACAAATTATAATAATGAATAAAAAAAATACACTTACTTTTAAGCATGCTTTAACATTTTGACTTTCTCTTTCAGATGAGAAAATCAATACAAAGCAATTTTTGTGCAAACCAGCAGAAATATCTAGCTGTATCACCAGCAATAAGAAAAAAAAGTACAACAGAGAGAATGATCCTGTTTTTTAATACCTGTTATTTTATTGTAAGTACATGAATATAAATTTCATTAGGTATATTCCAGTAAACAAGAAAATCACTGAATTCAACAGAATAGTGGTCAAACATAAAGTCAAAACTACATGTTTACTTTAATACTAAATCTATTTCAGACATACAGTTATTATCTATCACTTTACTTCACACAAAGTACATGATTCACTTTCAGACAGAGAACAGCTGTGTACTTCCAACTATCTCATAGTACACTTGGGCATTAATTTAGCATCCTTAGAATAATTTGTTGATTAAAACAAACTTTCATAACTTTTAACCATCTGGAATAGTTTAAAATCAGAAAATCATTTCAGAGTTATTAACAAGAACATTTATATAAAGCTTGAAGTTACTACAATGGAGTGAACCCTTAATGCTAAATGCACTCCTTTGTTAACTGATAAAGGAATTTAATTGATGTAATAAAACATTAGTTAAAACACAACAGTTAATAATTTATATTAAACTATTTTAGAATGAAATAATTGCATATTCAAATTACACACACACAATTAGCTATGTGAAATCTATAATAGGTGTGGATGTTCTTCAGAAATCTGGATACAAAAACAGTTCCAACCTTTTAAGTGTTTACTTTGCAGAGTACTTTTAAGTGTCCTCTTCCCCCTGAAACATTAAGTCAGTATTTTACTAACAAATACATGTTTGTTTGACACTGAAAAACAGTGTTCTCATTTTTAACATGACAAAATAACCAAAAACAACTTGAGTAATATAACATCTTCATAAGAACTATGTCCACAAGATATTGTAGCATAGGATTGTAACTATAGCACTGGTTCTGTCTCCTGATAAAGTATTAAACTTCTTCATTGTTTGAAGGATAAACCCTTGGTAGAGAAAGTATCACACTAACTGATATTTTAATGACAGTCTTTTTGTGTAATGTACCATGGTTCTAACAAAAGTTTGTTACAACTATAGTATTAACTTATAGCTTTAACCCTATCTCCATGGGTATCCTTTAGTGTGCATGATACAAGGTTTTAGTGTCTTAGATTCAAATTTTTATTAAACTACTTTTTGTTTATGTTATACCAATTAGTTTAACATAAAATCTTAGCTAATAATCCATATTTTAATAGTATATAAGTTTTAAGTTCTTAATTTTATAAGGCAATATTTTAAAATATCCTGAATTTACCCTAATGTGACACATGACACATTTTCTCTAGGTATCTTCTCATCTCTATTTTATCCCCCTACCCAGAAACTACGAAAATAAACGTAAATTACTCACTATAAAATCGTCATTGGTCTCTCCTGCCACACCCACCTGTCACATCCTCTCTTTCAGGATTTGTTAATAGTTCTCTTATGTTTAATTATATATTACCTATAACCAATAGAAAGCCAAGGTTTTCATCTATCAAATGACACATTATATTACATTCTGTTCTGAACAGAGAAATTTCAATTTCACTTCTAATACAACTTTGGTTCTCACAGGAATGACAATGGTTAGCTTGGATGAATTTGTAACTGTTCTTGTCGCATAGTTAGAAAGCCAGAAAAATTTTGAATGTTAGAGGAAATTGTCTACTTTTTGCATGTTATTAGTCTATGTTCTTTGGTGTATTATTTAATACACTACTACCATTAATATAAAAAAATAGGATTAAGTGTCATCGATAGTTAACAGCAGAAAAAAATAATACTCAGGTAAGTACTTTATTTCTTGTTTTTCATGTTTATTCTTTATTTATTATTATGAAAGTAACTAAAATGTAAAAATAGAGATCTCTTTAGGTTAGTTAAGATTAGATTAGGTAAAATAAACAACAATAATAGCATAATAAAAATATTTCATGAGGGACACACGCGAACAGCTTGGAGTAGCTCGTGGGTAATGTAATTCGATAGTGTTATGTGAGCTGCACATTCTCCAAATGATTTACAACTTATAATGGTGCAAATAGTAGTTAGACATCGTTCAAAGGGCAATGAAACAATAAAATTTAATTATAAATAGATGAATACTGTTATGAGTTTAAAGCTGCTGAGGATACACAAATGTAGTTTCATGCTACATTTGAAGTCATTCTGGAAAGAAAAGGAGGGTAATTTAGATTTTTTTAGAACTTTTTTTTTGTGGTTACGAGGTCAATCAAATTGACCAACGTTGTATAAAGTTAGGGTAGAGAAGATAACAGATAAAATATAGAGTTTTACTGAAAACAAACATTTGAAATTTATTTAAGAGGTTTTAGAGATTAACAAATGAAATTTAAGATTCTTGAGATGAAGAAAAGTATTTTTAATCTTAACATGAAAATCACTTTGCACATGGGCTATTCAAAACAAATACTCAATATATTCAAGGACAAATCTTTTTTTTTAGTTTATTAAAAATACTTCACTAAAAATTTGATTTTTGTATGTGAAAGGCTTATAATGTTTACTGAAAGACTGACAGATTTTGTGAATATCAAAAGTTAGTAGTACCAAATCTATAAAGACTTTATACAAGTAGAAAAAGGTAATATGGTCAGTCAAATTGACCAAGCTCATGAGGAGAGAGTTAATGAGGTTTAAGAAACAAATCTCCCTGTTGTAGTATACACAATTTTTATTTGAAGAATATATTGATGTTTTTATAGCACTGTTACCCTACACAATATAGAAGAGATTAAATTTTATGAAACAAACACTTTGCTTGGTTGACTATTAGAAAATTTATTAAGTACAATGTAGAGCTGTTGTAACATGTGGTGATAAGATATAGTAAAAATTACAAAAAAAGAAAGTCTTCTTTAATATTCCATGCCAGTAAATCTTTTATTATTGAAGAAAACTGTTTCAAGTTTTCTTTTTACTGAAAAAAAACTACTATAATTAATGAATTTCAGACACCAAAATACACTGCTCATATCTAGGGAATCAACTTACTTTTTATCTTCTATAATTATAGTCATTTTACATTAGAAAAATAGAGCATTCTTGTTTAAATAGCTATGAAATTTATACCTTAGATGACTCCTCAAGAGCTTTAGAAGATGTAATTCCAAGAAGACCTTTTGCTGTAGAGAAAAGGTTGAGAGGAGTCATCCCGTCTGTAATTAAAGTTGACTTGATACCAAGTCCTTGCAACAGCTTCACCTAAAGATAAATATTTGATTAATTGCTTTATAGATTTTATATTACATATACGATCTCATAATATCACAAAATTATGCTACCATGTATTGAAATAAACATTGGTGCATCATGTAATTTGTTAGAGGTTGAAGAAATACATAACCCTTTGAAGTATTTCAGATGTGTCTATAAAAATATCAGTGACGGTTAATGATAAAAATAATACCTGCAGTTCTGGACCTGCCAAAGCAATGGAACGGATGGTTTCTGATCCTAGAGAATCAACTATATTTTTGAATTTCTGAGTCTCAATATCTGTAATTTCTTGAGCTTTTAACACTTCTAACCGGTTCTGTTCCCGAAGGTAATGAATCTCAGCTGTCCGAGCTTGAGTTAATCGTTCCAGTTCTGTCTCCTGAGAGAAAAATCTGTATTTAATACATCTTCACAGGTGTTATCTTAAATGACTTTATTATTATCCAGTACCCAAAAAAATATCATAAATCATTGTTACCTTATACAAAAAAGAGAAGAGATTAAATTGTATGAAATAAACATTTTGCTTGGTTTACTGTCAGAAAATTTATCCAGTTACAATGTAAAGCTACTGTAAAATCGTGATAAGATATAATAAATATTACAAAAATGAAAACTTTGTTTGACATTCCATGCCAGTTTTTTTTTACAATTGATGAAAATACTTGATAGAGAAGGTGTTACACTATTTAATTTTTTAAATGAAAACCCTTGATAGAGAAAGTAAAAGAAACTCTTTAGTATGAGAAAGTATTCATTTTGTGAAGGAAACCTCTGATACAGTATTAAACTGGTTCACTGTGTAAAGTATAAATTCTTGGTCAAGAAAGTATTACACAGACTAATTTTGTAATAACAGCCTTTTTTTTGTTTTAACAATAATTTGTTAAAACTATAGTACTAGCAATAACAGGTATCAGCTTATAGCCCTAATGAGACTTAAGAAACGAATTTTGATATTGTATACGAAGTTTTTATTTGAAGACTATGTTAATGTTTTCATAGCACTGTTTTACTATAAGTCCTATTTTCAATTATGTAACAGGAGATTTTAGATTGAAAGATTTGAATACTCACAGCTTCAATTTTCATGGCTTCAGCTTTTAATTTGGCTTGCTCAACTGCAGCTTCACCTTCAATTCGCTGAGCCTCTGCTCGGCTCTGGGCCTCTGCTTTAGCTTGTCCACAGCTTTCTACAATCATGCTAGAAGCTTGTAGCTCTAACAGTTCTTTTCGGGAATGTTCTGCTTCTACCTCATCTGTAATCTTCTGTCTTTCAAGACGACCCTTTGCTTCTTGCTCACGTCTTTCTGCCTCATGCCTGGATAACAATATGCAACATTTTACAGCAGTTGTTGAACAGATTAATTTAACTAATAAACTAAATTTAACTACTAATTTAATCAAATGTAAAAAAAAAAAAATGATACAAAGACAATTTCTCATTTGTGAGAAGGAATACTAATGCAAAATTAACTAGTAATTTTTTTGATAAAGGAAAAAAATATATATTCTAAGCAGGGGTTTTCCTAGTGTACAGTTGATCACAAATTTTGCATCTGTAAAAATAATTTTGCAGTTGAGAAAATCCTTAGGAAAATCTCTGATTCTAAGTTTAACTACTATAATGTATGATTAACAAACTAATAGATTGGAAGTGGTAAATAAGCTTTATTACTGAAACTATTTTAAACCTAATAATTTCCTGAGGAATACTGTGTTAACACAATTATAAATGTATTGATTTGTTTTTAAAAAGTATTTAGAAAGGTTTTGTTAAAATTTTATCCACTCCTAATAATTTCCTGAGGAATACTGTGTTAACACAATTATAAATGTATTGATTTGTTTTCAAAAAGTATTTAGAAAGGTTTTGTTAAAATTTTATCCACTCCTAATAATTTCCTGAGAAATACTGTGTTAACACAATTATAAATGTATTGATTTGTTTTCAAAAAGTATTTAGAAAGGTTTTGTTAAAATTTTATCCACTCCTAATAATTTCCTGAGAAATACTGTGTTAACACAATTATAAATGTATTGATTTGTTTTCAAAAAGTATTTAGAAAGGTTTTGTTAAAATTTTATCCACTCCTAATAATTTCCTGAGGAATACTGTGTTAACACGATTATGAATGTATTGATTTGTTTTCAAAAAGTATTTAGAAAGGTTTTGTTAAAATTTCATCCACTTGTCTAATTTCTGTTAGAAGTTCCAGAGAGGTTTGTAGAAAAATTAAGTATCAGAAACATTAGTGAGAAACAAAGTAGGCTATCTTGTATTTTTATGGGATTAGGATAAAAAATATAGCTTTTTAACAGGCTTCAAATAAAAAGATAACACATATTCAAATGCAGGAAAAAAAATAGTTTCTGCATAATCACAAGAAATGTGGAGTTATAAGTAAATCATGACATTTGACTTTAATAACTTTCATAATTATTTGATACATCAAATAACAACTACATTGGAAGTATAAACCCTAACTATACCTAAACTAAAACTCTGTTGAACTTGTACTTCATGAAAATATAAAACAAAATACTTGATTCAAACATAGAGAGAGCTGTGTATGATATTTAATAATGCCTTCATTTGGTGTACTGCTTTCAGATATGGGATTTTATACACAACCCTTTATGGTTTCGGTTGTGCAAACTCTGAAATTAGAAGGTTACTGAGCATAGATTATGACATATATAAATTAACAAATTAAAAAGAAAACGTGTTGAGATGAAAAACTTGGAATACGTTTTAACCTGCACAGTATGCTATACATTAAAAAATGTGGTGCTTTTCTAATGTTAGAGATACTTATTTTTGGTGTTAACAATAAATGTCTGAATACAATAAAAATGTAAAGTCTCTTTAAATTAGTTTCATAATCACATTATGATTTTAAAAATATATTAAGCATAGGATAAGAATAATAGGAAAAACTTTGACTTGCACTTGTATTACCAGAAGATAAAAAAATTGGTTCTGGTTAAGAGCCATAGAATAGTTATTTATAATAAGTAACACTGTAGAAATCACCCATGAAATGAGATCCTGCTCTCTATGTCATGCTTGGAATGTGGCACTCAAGTACAAACTTGTTACTTTAAAGTCATTGGAAGTGCAAGTGGTGAATGTCCATTAAAAGTATTTAAACTTGTAAAACAATTGAAACCAGCTTTTAATTAGAAACAGTCTTATGTTCTACTATTAATACTAATAAAAAACTAACTCTTAATTTGAGAGGTTCTTACCTAGCAGTAGCTTCGAGAGACTGAGTAGTAATCTCAATGGCCAGTTGCACTGACTTCTGCAGTGAATCCCTTGTTCTCTGATCCACAGGTTCTACACTTTGAATGTCCACACTAGTGATAACAAGGTTGTTTTGAGGAAAAGAAAACTGATTTCTAATTTTTTGGTTCTCATCCTGCCCAAAAACAGCTAGTCGAATTATTCTTACAGAGTTCTGAATGGAAATAACAACAGAAACACTAATGAAATAACATATAAAAAAGTTAATCCCTAAAGTTTTGAGGTATATGCTTTATACTAAGCAAATATAATGATGTAAGAGAAACTTCTAGTTTTAATTACCAAATATTCCAAATCAATTTTCACATAATAACCCAAAACATTTTCTTCATCACCTAAACTACATGTATATATTAACAATTTCTTCAATATTTTTGCCAAGAAGAAGGAATTGTTCTTTTATTACACAATTAACAAGGTAAAAACAATTGCACATCTTCATATGTGGTGCTCAAAATATTCCTATACAAAGTTTCATATGATTGACCAGCAAGTTCTGAGACAAGAGAAGGAGAGAAAAATATTTCTTTCTATAAATAATGATACTAATATTTATTACATATGACTTTAACAGAGAAATTTTAGTATAGATGTAAATTTCAAGTATAACATTCATAAAGTAATTATTTTAATTAGACTAGGCTGGAGAAATCGGATTCACAGAGGAACAACAATACTTAATGCTTGAGGTCACTCTTGTAAAGCAAAATACATTGTTAGAAAAGAAAATTAAATGCAACAAAATACTCACTACTAATAGAATCGAATCAAAAATATCATTATTATCCTGCAAATTTTTTGCCTGAATGCACAGCTTCTGATAAACAACAATAGCTGTTTAAAGGTTTATTACCTAAAGAAAAGTCTGATAATGAAAACAAGTGCTTGTCTTAAAAACATGATTCAATATTATTTTATAAATAACACACAAAACAAACTTGCTCCATGAACATTACTGACAGCTTCATGAAAAAAACAAAAACAAATTACATAACCTTTGTAAAATATAAAGGGATCTCACCTTATGAAAATCATCAAAGCAGACACTAGCTACAGCTCCCCTAATCCGAGAAGCCAGAGCCTTACACAAGTCTCCCACAAAGTCTGGAACACTAAAGAGCTTGGTAGCTGACTCAGGGCTCTTATTACCAAACTCAAAATGCCTGAAGATAAAAGACAAATAAAACTGCTTGGTACTTCATATATCTGAAGTCAAACTCTTGTAAGTGTTGAATGAACAGCCTACAAGTAACTTATGATAACAATGTGTATTACTTTAACTTACTAATTGAATAAATTTTTAAAAATATTTCATTGAAACTGTGATAAATTTTTAGTAGGTTTCAAATTTTTAAAATTTGCAGGTAGATTTCTTCAAGGATCTTGAACTTCTTTATGAAGTATAAGAAAATCTCTCATTATTTTGAAGTTTATGAATTCACAATAATATTATGCTTTTGTACATCAATCAATCAATAAATATATATATATGTGTGCTTGTATATATATACACAAGCATTTCAGATTAAATCATAGTGTTTATACCACCACAAAATTTGCCCACAAAAGAGTTGGAGGAATTGATTATTGTAAAATCCAGACTCTTTCACCAAAAACCAAAAATGCTAAGCTTGAGATGGCCTTCTTAAAACCCTGGTCACGAGTCCACTGAAGTGGTTAAACAACTAAGAACTTATTCAATGACTCCTATCCTAAGTGCTTACCCATGTAGTACATACTACATCCAAAATGCTTAAACTGCAAGAAATCATTTCAAAACATATACCATAATGCTTCAAATAAACAATACCTTTCTCAGCCTCACCCATGGCTTTAAAATGCTTTGTTGTGTAATTTTGTAAGAAATGTATAAACTTAAAAATAAACTTTTCCTCTGTAAACTTGTGACAACATAGTGTCACGAGAATAAAATAATACTGAAAAAAGTAAAAATTACCATGTATATCAAATCCTTACCAATTATATGCCAACTGCAGCTGAAGACGAGCATGGTCAGCTGTTTCAACAGTAATAATGTCAGTGCAAAAGTCTGGACCAAGCAATAGACAGAGAGAACGAATCACGTTAGGACGTTTAGGTTTCCCACCAGACAAGCTAAGTTGGGTAAACTGTTCATCAGGTCCTAGCATAACTAAGTCTGGTCCAAACACAACCCTTCAAGTACAAATTTAAATGGTATTAAAACATAAATAACTATAAAAATATATTCATGACACTTAGAAAACATATTGGATAAAAAAACAACAGACAAATCACATAAAATACTTGGAGCAGACCTTTCTTGTTTCACATTTCAACCTAATATCTCAAGTGCTTTACTGATACAATTCTCCAGTTCACCCCTAAAGAAGGAAAGTTTTACTTTCCAAAAGCACTCAGATTATTAGGATTATCGTACAGTGTTAACAAAACAGCATTAAAAAATTAGAAATGAAAGCCAATGGAAAGAATTTAAAGTAACTTTATTATTTCAATATTATCACTTGTACAAAAAAAAGGACATATATTTTCATATTGAGAGGAATTAAAGAATACACTATATTTTTACTATTAGAAAAATATAACAGCATAGGCTTTCTAGGTCACAACAATATTACAATTCTATATTTATAATGATATTAATTACTGTTCACCTTAGTTCAGGAGTGAAATTCTGCTGGTAACCACTGGTATTGAGTACTAGAACTTATTTTTTAAGGTGGTACTAGCACCGAGACTTATTGGAGCTGCTTTTTCGGAAACGCGTGCGTTCCGTTGTTCCATTAGAAAGAATTTATTCATTGACACTCAAATTGTCGTTTTTTATGTTTACACGTAGCTTTTTTTTCTTTTTCAAAACAGGTCCACTTCACCCAGCTGAGTACCTCTACTTTTTTTTTTAGAATTTCACCTCTGCCTTAGTTTAATCCTAGACTATGACCTTAGTCCATCTTTGCTTGTCATATCCATTTGTGGACAAAAGTAATATTAAAGCCACAAAAAAATTTAGAATTTGAGTTTTAAATTAAAACCAAACCATTAAAGTTTCCATTTAAAGTGGCTGGTTTCTATATTTGTCAAGATGTCAATCAAAATACAAGGATGTTTTGTTTGTTCTGTTAAGCAAAAAGCTATTCATTGTGGTAATTGTACTGTGCACCCCATGAGTATCAAAACACAATTTCTAGTATTATAAGCCCACTGACTTATTGCTGAGTCACTAGAGAGCAACAGGGTGCTAGTTATTTATAACCTCAAAATTAAAATCCTTTCAACCTTCAACAACATGAATGAGAACATCAGATTTGCATATTTCTTGCCAAGATAATCCACTTTAAAATAAACAGTATATCTGATAACAGATGCAAACAACTATTTCTAATAACAATACTTTATTCTAAGAAGAAACTTACAAGAAAATTAAATTGAATTGTTAGAAATTAAGATATACTAAAAAATGTACTACAGTATTTAGAGTTGTTGTTTAGTAATAAATATGAAATTGTCATAATTAAAAAAACAGTCAAATTTTGAATTTTTATTCATATGAAGACTCATTTTAAAGCATAAATCAAACCAGACCTACTAATAACAAAAATCAGTTTTTAGATGCACAAATTTGACATACTTTAAAATATTTAGACACTAAACAGATTTCAAGGAGAATAATTGTTGACACATTTTAATCATTTAGTGTTTAAAATTTTAAGAAAATTCTTTAAGCTTTTATAAGTGCAAAAAGTACATAATAAATTATCCAAATTTTTCATGAAATTTGTATGTCTAAGATACAGCATTTAATACATATATCAGTTAAAATACAACATTAGGCACATTACAACCAAATCAAAAATTTGTTAGAATTTTATGCATGAATATATATAGTAAAACAAACCTATATTATGTAAGACAAAACAATCCAAGTTACAAAAGAGAGCTCTATATATGGTTAGTCGGAATAGTTTTCAATCAAATCAAATAACATTTACATAAACATAAGGGCCCAAAATATTACTCTTGACAATATCCATACCAAGACTAACTGTGTACTGCAGTTTTGGGATATATCATCATTCTGTTTAGTCAATGATGGATAATGAATATCCAAAATGAGTTTTCATGTTTTTAGGCACAAACTTTGGCTAAATCTAGCTGAAGAGCTATGCAGCTTTAAAAACACTTTTATTATGAAAACAAATTACAAAAATGAAAGTGTGAACAAAATTTACATTATATACTTCCAGTTGCTTGAAATATGCAAAACCATAAAAACAAACTGCAAAGATCAAGTTCACTTTATTGTTTATTTATTACTATTATAATTTATATCATATTTGTCTATGCTTATCCCATAACAGAAATATACAAAGTTTCTAGTGGAAAACACACTTAAATTAATTACAAGTTTATTTTCACAGAAGAAAAAACAATAAAAACAAAACTTTAATGGACAAATCAGTACCAGCTATTAATATTCCTACAGAAAAAGGTAGTAGATACTATATAAACATTAAAGCTTTGACAGTAATAATTTTGTTATAAATGTTTTTAAAACCTTACCTAGCCTTTTTTTCTTTGTAATCATATACTTGAACAGCAGCATTGTGAGGTACCCTAAGTGTTACTACCCTGGTCTTTTCACGAGCTTGAGAAATTGGTTGTGCTAAGCCAACAGCTGTGGATCGCTTGTTCCAGTCACCTCTGTCAGCTAAAGGGTCCTTGTAGCCTGACAGAAGATCCTCAACTACAGAAGGCAGCTCTTTAGGCCACAACTCTTCATCTTGATTTAACATGTATGTCTCTCCACATACTGCTCTTACCTTCAGAGGAAGATAACAAAATTAAGATATTTGGTATATTACTAACACCTAATTATTTATGTGGTATGACATTTATGTTGACACCAGTTTATAAAAAAATTTCACGCTACCCCAATCTTTGCAAAAACAAAATATAAAATTTAAAGAAAAAGATCTTCCCAGAAAAAAACACAAATAAAAATAACTACATTATGGAAAAACCATAACTCTTAGCATTTCTCTAAAATAAAGGTACAAAAAATATAGATAAACTAGGTATGTTATAGCTATCATGAATTAAAATTATGCCATTTTGTCAGACCAACATGAGTTTTGTTGGGAACATTCACTTTCTTAGTAAAGGATCTTCATTTTCATTGAAATAAAATATATATATAATAAATTTCTGTAAATAGATCAAGAGAAAATAACTTGAAATATACATCAGGTAAAGACAAATTAAATTTAATATGAAATAATAAAGATAGCCATACTCGTCCAGTTTTGATGTTTCTAACATAGATTCCTTCGTTCTCATCAAGGGGAATGGAATATCGCTTGATAATAGCTTCTACTTCGGTTGGTGGAATGTACTCAACAGGGCCACGGATCATCCATTTGTCACCAGGGTTTCTCTTAACAGCCTGAGGAAAATAATAATGTGAAATTAAGCCAATAATTTCAATATAAAAATCAAGATCATGCAAGAACCTCTATCTCTTAAATTAGAGCAAGTTATTAGTAAATTTATCATTACATTATACACAGATTATTATTTCAACTTTTTTCCTATTTTTTGAAGAATTTGTTTCCTTCACTCATAAAAGCAGTTTCTGAAAGCTCTCAAACTAAATTCATCCTGGAGAAATGTTTTAACTATATTGTAATAACGATGCAACCAATTTTATTTTTTGCTTTTATTTTCCATATATTTTAGTATTTAAAACAAAGGCTTTATTATATCTTCTTTGAGTTATAATTAAAATTAAAGAACAATTCTAAGTATATAAACACGTTTCCAACCACTTAAAATTATTAAATCTACTATGTTTTTGTACTTGAAATATGCATTAAAGCCCGATGAAATGTTCGTTTGATAAAAAAATGGCATAAAATGAAATATATTAATCAAATATTCTTGAGGGTGGAAGCATATTATGCTAACAGAATAGTAAACTGATACACAATGATTTACTATTAATCAAATATTCTTCTTTTAACCCTGTACATGTTGCTTTTTTCATGCCTTGTTCCTAACCATTCCTGTGGTCTTTGCCTACAAAGTTTAAAGGCCCTGACCTTTTTTGTTGCAATTCAGTTGAAACATGGCAATTTACAAGTTCATATAGGTATCAAAAATTGCCATTTTATGAGAAAGTTAAATTACAAGACTTGTCAAGGCAAAGTTCTAAATATATGCTAAGTGAGAAAGTTATGTTGGGCTATCTGCAGTGTTTACCGATGATAATGAAATTCCAGATTTTAGCATAAACTTACTGCTGTCCCATTGGGGGACATAAAGAAAGGGATACCTATAGTATTGAATCATATTGGTAATGCAAAGGAAGGCTTGATTCCATCAGAGAAAAACAGGATACCCTACAATAGGCTAACATTTAAACATCAGTGATAGTGAAGAAAAGTTTAAACAGCTTGTCACCAGAAGCAACCCTAGAAGCCCATCAGAAGCCCTAGAAGTAAGCCCATCACAGTTGAAATAGAAACCTATGTGGCAAAAGTGTAAACAAAATAATTCACACAGCACTGCCATACAAAGCAATTCTGGAGTGGTCAGGCCATTGCCACATTGCCATTTCTAAGGGAGTATGGAGGCATTCCCTCCCAGGAAATTTTAGAAAATTTAATGCTTTGAGATTGAATCTTGAGCCATTTTGACTACAAATACTGTATACACACAACGTAATGTAGTTAATTAAAAGAAGCAAGTTTTAATACGCAAGTTGTAGATATACATGCCACAAAAAAGTGGTCAGGCCAAGGCCTGACTGGCCTTACCACTTCCTATGGCCCTGCACAGATTTAGGTCTACAAAGTACCATAAGATCCATGTTCACATGCTTCTCCCAAAACATACAGATGAACAGAAGACTGTTGAAAACTGTACAAGTAGTGTTTAATATAGCAAATGAAATTATGTCATCATACAATATTTTCTTAAGTGTCATTGATCTAAAAAAGTCCAAACAATTTATTATTATTCTACCAGTGATAGAACACTTAAAACATGGTACAGAACATGTCATGAAAGTTTTCCATAAGATTTACTGCAGTAGGCAACATCTATAATAGTAAACTAAATATCAGGAGAGTTGATAAATATGCTAAGATGAACTCTGTGTACTATCAGGACAGTATGCTACCACCACTTGACAACAATAAGGTATGTCTCCATTAAGAAAAACATTCAGTCATCAGCTACAGCTCCAAGTCAAGGTGCTAGTTCCTTCACAAGATGCCAGTATAAATGGAAATTTATGCTATACATTCACATTAAGCATATCCCATGAATTTTTGTGTTTTCAACTTTCTCAAATGGGCACTCATAAGTCAGCTTCAGCGCACAGTTGATGGAGTTTGCAAATAATTTAAAGAGATGGTGACATTAATCTCAATGTAATGTGCAAAAGACTTTTGCAGTAGAAATTGCATTACAGAGGAATAGTCCATAACAATGGTAAACGCATAGAGACCATAAATAATGGAACAAGGGGCGGTAAAGCATAGACACTCATCCTTATAGATTGCTATCATAGACTGTGAGAACCACTCTTGATTACTGAGATAACTTATCAAATCATATCTATCAGATATTATATGTGATGGGGCAAAATATATATCTAACAAAGAAAATTAAAAGTCTTGTGTGTTAGAGTCTGTGCTTTTTTAAGCAACCTGAAAGACTACTATTAATGTTTATGTGGATCATGATTTCTAATTATGAAACATTTAAGTTGCTAAGTTTGACAGCTGATTGTAAAAAACTTTTAAGTGTTACTAACTCAGTATAATTATTTCAATGGCACAAGGAATGAATGAAATAATTCCATATGAGTTTGCCATCTAAGTGCTACATAGCAGAGTTATGTGAAGTAAGTCTAACAAAAATTAAACTAAATGTTTATCAACTAAAGTTTTGGAGCCATCTTTTGACAAGTCATTCAGAAACTTATCGTTAAACATATAATAATAACTATAAAATTAAAATGTGCATATATTTTTTCTATAATATGAATAACTGATCTTATAAAATGGTATAAAGAAAGTTACTGGTTGAATGGTGTCATCTAAAAAAGACTCCCTTGCTCTCAGGATTAGTCCTTCATCTTCTCCCATGACATTTATATCTTGAATACCATTTTCTAGCTTTTCATTTGGCATCAGAAAGAAAGATATTTCACCCTAGAAGAGCAGAATCAAATTACAAAAAAATAAATATCTTACGTATAACTTCAAAGTAATGTTTTAATCAACTCCTAACATTCAAACATAAGGTGAAAATAACAGTTAAACTCACTCTGAATAATTTCTTTCTTGTCTATTGTAAAAAAGACCATTCAAATTAGGTGCTATTAATACTTTTACATTTATTCACTTACAAAAAGCAAATGTACCTTAACCAACTTTTTTTGACCAAGTTGTGGCTTCCCATCTTCACCAACAGGATCAAGTATGACACAATACTGGCGATTAGACAATGTTGTAATTGGCACAACCCCAACTACTTGTTCATAAACCCCTGGAATGTAAGTTTCTGTGTCTGACATCTTAACCAACCACTCTTCTCCATTCTTCCTTGTTACGCCTAGGTCATCCTGGAAAGTTCTGGTTGCTCTCACATGTACTGCTTCCTGGAATAAAATAGTTCAATACACAAACTTTTATCAAGTAACAAAAACTGCCATGTATTATGTGTATAAAGGTTTCATTTAAATATCATTTTCCTCATTATGGTTGTCAGAATTTAAAAATATAGATTTTTCTTTTTGCCAGTTGTCCAAAATAAAAGGCTTTTACTATTTCTTAATAGTATACATATATACTATGCTGTTGTTGTCCTTAGGATTTTTCTACAGTAGGTGTCTGTGCGTTGTTAGCGATAAATCCACAGATGAATAAACAGCATGCACTTCACTTGTTTTCAAAATAATATATATATTCAGAACAAGTTAACGTATGTACAATAAATTCTTCAACACTATAGATATTATGGACATATCATAAATACTATATATGTAGTTCTCTCCTTCTTGACAAATATTTACTTAGGCCTATTCAATTACTTTAGAATTTCAGTTCACAAGCTGAACTATCTTCTCAATTTCTATCGCACTAGTATTCTCTGTGATTTAATTACAATTGTGGCGAGAGTTACCATAATCGTTTGGTATTCTTTCTTCTGAAGATCCTCTGTTCCTTATGTCAAAGTGCACTCAGGCTGATTCAATTACTTTAGAACCACACTTTGACAGAATAAAATTATTTTTCTTATCTTCTTTTCTACTGTTAATTTCACTAACATATTAAATGTTAGGCCTATCACTTCTATAGTTGTTAACTTCATGCCAACTTTATTCTCTTTTGCTATTATCTGTCTGCTGTTCCCACTCATCTCACTTTATCACTTAATCGTCTGTCCACCTTCTATAATATCGACATCTATGTATTGCATGTGACGTTTGATATTCTCAACATCAATGAATTATTAACAAAACTTTCTTCAATCGTCTACTTTTAACTCTTATTATAACAAAACTAAACAATAATGAAATATTCACTCACAAAAATAAATTAATCACTAATATATAAACTAAACAGTCTTTTATGTCATGACAATGGTATTCTTGTCTAAATGTTAAGAAATAATAGAAAAAATTCTAAAGAATATCCAACTATTGTGGAGTACCCTACATCTGTTTCCAAAAAACCATAACAACACATTCAACTTTTTATTTGTTGTTGGAACCAAGAGAAGTTAACTCTCTCACTACAGGCTCAGTCAATTTGACCTAGTCTATGACCCCAAAGTGATTGTCAGAGTTTTCATACTATAACTTTTAACATATTTTGTATATTTTCAATAAATTTGGCAAACTTTCAGTAAAAGTTATAAGTCTTTTGTTTAAAAAAAATCAGACTTTTTAATTAAGTATTTTTACTAAACATTTGTCTGTGAATATATGTAGTCAGAGTGTTAATTGCTCAAAGTGCAAAGTGATTTTCATGTTAAGATTAAAAATACTCTTTTTTATCTGAAACTACCAAATTTCTTTAGTGTAATCTCTGAAACCTCCTAAATAAATATCAAGTGTTTTTCAGAAAAAGTTTATATCTTATCTGTTATTTTCTCTACCCTAACTGTTTATGGGTTTGATCAATTCAACCAACCTTGTAACCATCATAAAAAATTAGGAAATAAATCTAAATTACCCATTTTTCTTTCTAGAATGACTGCAAATTGGAACTGGATACAACAACTGTTTATCCTAAATAGCTTAAAAGCTCATACCAGTACACACCCACTTATACTTAATTTTATTGTTTTGTTGCCCTTTGACCCATTTTTAACTAAGAGTCCTTCCATGCAAGTTGTAAATCACTCAGCAAATGCATAGCTCACGTTACTGTAGTGAACTGCAAAGAGCATGTGCTGCTCAAGAGCATACCATGTGAAAAACATTTTTTGTAATTATCTTACCTGATCTAACCTAATAAGTTTCTACTTTTTACATTTTAGTTACTTTTAAAATAAAAAATAAAGAATATACATGAAAAATAATAAATATACATTCAATTCTACACTTTACAGAGAGGTGGTAAATAAATTAGAGAAAAGGGAAAAACCTCTTCAAATTTAAATAATATTAATATCTGATTCATTAACTATAGTATGATGCCAAATTTATTTGTATACAATAATAATGACGTAGCTTAATTATATTTGATTGTAACTTTCTACAAGGTGAACAAAACATCCTTAGCATTCTGTTCTACAATAAGAAGCACAAACTCAAGTATTTGTTATGTATGATCTTATTGTGCCTGCTGGAGCTCAATGCTATAAAAGACACTTAGACAGAAAACAATTTGAGCCCATTCACACCAGATGATAAATGGAAGGATAAAAGACCATATCAATGGTAAAAAACATATGCAATTGATCTTTTGGAGAATATATATATCGAGCAGTAAAAATACTAAGTGGAATAGACATGAGCAGGTCTCACAAAATAAATGGTGATGAATACTTTAACCTGATTAGGTTGACTGAGACCCAGTTTGATGACCTGTAATCCAGGAATCAATCTTCAAGGAAAACCCAAGTAAGTTTTGTGCAAACTTATTTAGGGGTTCTCTTCATTAACCCTTTTGCATCACGTACGTCAAAGTGTGCATGTTACAACCTTTTATAGAGTTACATTCAAAATTTAATAAAATTCCTTTTTATCAATGTATACCAATAAACATAGCTAATAAATCAAATTTTAATATTAATTAAGATTTAAGTTCTTAATTTTATAAGGAAATATTTTTAAAAAATCCTCAATCTCCCCTAGTATGAAAATTTGCTCTCTATGTCTTCCCTGTTCTCTAATTTATTTATCACCCCTTAGAGGAGCATGGAATTTAATGTAAGTTACTCATTGTAATATACTTAATACACAGACAAAGCACAATTTTTACCACCTTCAATCTTATTTAGTTATAGAGTCATAAACTATAAAAGCAGAACCCTCTTCCCACACCCACCCGTCAAATCTTCTCTTTCACAAATTGCAACAGTTCTCTCCCACATCTAACACTATATTATTTATAACCAATAGAAAGTCAAAGTTTCATTCATCAAATGATGTATTATGTATCATTGTTTTCTGTACAGAAAATTGTCTATTTCGCTTTCAGTTCAAATTTTATTCCCATGGGAAACACATTGAGGAACTTAGCTGAATTTTTGACAGCCCCTTATTGCATAGTTAGAAAGCCAGAAAAATTATGATAGTCATAGGACATTGTCTGCTTTTATACATGTTATTATTCTGTGTTTTTAGGTGCAATATTAAATTAAATAAAAAATTATTTAGTGTGGTAGTACCATTAGTATAAAAAAGCAGGCTTAAGTTTTGTTGACAATCGACAGCAGAGAAAAAGAAGACCCAGGTAAGCATTAAATTTCTTGTTTTTCATGCGTATTCTTTACTTATTGTTATAAAAGTAACTAAAATGTAAAAATTAGATAACTGTTAGGTTAGATTAGGTAAGATAGAGATTAATAATAATAAAAATTATTCACAAGGTATGCTCATGAGCAACTCATAAGTAACTCGTGCATTACATAATTCGAAACGGTAACATGAATTACTTGTTTAACAAGTGATTTACAATTTGTGTGGCAGGATTATTAGTTAGACACAGTCCAAAAGACAATAAAACAATAAATTAAATATAAATAGATGTATACTGTTACAAGTGTTAAGCTACTTAAGATAAACAATTGTGGTTTCCTGTTACAATTTGCAGTCATTCCAGAACGAAGAAAGGGTAATTCAGAATTATTTCCTAATTTTTTTATGGATTATGAGGTCAGTCAATTTGACTGACCCTGTATAGTTATAGTATAGAAAATAACAGATAAAAGTTTTTCTGGAAAAAATAAATAAACATTTGATATTTATTTAGAAGATTTTAGGAATTATGCAAAAGAAATTTTAAAATTTTCAGATGACGAAAAGTATTTTTAATTTTAACAGGAAAATCACTTTGCACTTAGAGAAGTAAACACTTTGACACCAAATAATTAAGTTTTAGTAGAAATAATCACTTAAAAATGCTGAATTTTTTGTCTACAAAAGAATTTTAATGTACACTGACAGCTTGCCAAATTTCATAAATATACATTAAGTACTTTACTTTCAAGGGCCTTAGCATGAACACCACCATGGTTACATAGTGGTACAAGGTCATGTAAAATACACAAGTCCACTGCAATAGGGTTAAATTATATACAGTGATAGTTGTATCCATGGGTACATTACCAGTTTCTGGTCATATCTTGTTGTTGGGCAAAATAATGATGCTGCAATTACTTGTCATATGATTGATTTTGCAGATAGAGATTTAGAGAAGAATTAGATCACTTTCAATAACTGGGTGTGAAATCCACGATACTATTCTTTCCACAAAAAAGAAAAAAAGAGGGAAAAATCAGCATCTTTCAAAGTTTGACACAAAAATGTATGGGTGGTTGCAGTAATAAACCAGTGAAAACTACTGGACATGGTATTTATCAATCTGTAGATTCCTTTTATAGTATAGAATATTATGTATGTGCTTCCTTTCAATCAAAATATATGACTCAATTCTACTATCACACAATGCACACTTGAACTGATAAAACAACCAAACCACTCTTAACAGATTGTAGTCTGATGGTTTATTGAAAAAATAAACTAAAACAGAAAAAAAATTAAGCCGTCGGTGTGACTTTAGATTTTCCATACTGGGTGTGTATCATCTGAAGCAGACAGTACTATATACACAAAAACATTTATCTAAGGATAGAATGATGACATGTTAGCGAGCAGTGAAAGATGATTTTCTGTGAGTAAATCTGATTTAAGTCAGTGTATGCTCTCTCTCTGGATTCAGTGTGACCAACCTGTGCTAGAGTTGTATTGTTTAATTCAAACAGGTGCAATAGTAGTGGAATAATTTGCATACACAGCATTATTAATGTGGTTCCCGAGTCTCAAATGGTAAAGGAATAGAATTAGTATATGAATCTATTAAGGATGCTGTATCAATGAGGCTTCTGAAGTATTGGACAATGACAGAAGGAAGAATCAGAAAACTTAAAGAGTACACAATAAATGAAATGTGACATTTATGGTATACGGTGAACACAATTTGTGGTTAGTCAAAGTATTCAAAAAGAAGGCAATCATTCCTACCTTAAAGACCCTTGTACTTTATGAGTACAAACAACAAACCATTCATACAGATCAAAAACACAGGAGTCACTTGTAGTGTTGCTTGTTCAAGAAGCTGTTTACAACATGCTTCTGTTCTGTTGCAGCTGTTTAAAGGCAAGCTAATATAAATTATTTTAAATTTTGTCATTTTCACAATATATATATCATATGGATTATTTGGAAAATGTACTATAAAAATAGACAAAATCTGTAAATTTGATGGTGAGTTTCCATGCGAATTAGTGAATGCAAATATATTAATGAGTATTATATTCCAGTATTAGTTTCTTTATATGCATAATAATAAAATTGTAAGAAAAATAATATAAACTTGAACAACTTGTGATAGTCTTCTTTTTTCCATATAACATTCACAATTTTACAGTTTAATAAGGATCTGTCTACAAGATATTACAGTTTGGCCCCAAACTTTTGAAATTGTATTATCCAAATTGTTATCTGCATATATAATAGTCAATGTTTGTCTGTCTGTCATGCTCTGTATCTCCTGAACAGTTAATCATATAAAAAAATTATATATATCAAAATGCTTCTTTTCAAGAGTATATTAAAAGAAAATTATCCAATTTCTTGCAATTTGTAAACTTTCATATCGACATCAACATCAATCTGTTAGTCTTTGTATATGCTGAATGGTCAATCTGAGAAAAAACTTAAGAACTAAAATGTTTCTTTTTGTGAGGGAATTTCATGAAAAAACAAGATTCCCTCCATCAACTGACTGAAGGAAATATTTTGATGATAGGAGCGTGAACAGAAAAGAGCATAAAGAGAGAAATGTGTTTGAGTATATATTTGTTGTTATATACACATATATATATATGTATATAATTTTTATTTTTTTCATGTTAATATCATATACATGCATGATTTTATTCCACCATGTCAAATATAATGCTTTGAATTAAATATCTACCCATGGATGCTTCTTATAGAAATGACCACTGTCAAAAAGCACTCAATTTGGTAGCAGTTTTTTCTTGCACACAGTAAAATGACAAGGAATGGTGGCATCAAGTGGAAAACATCCCTGCAGCTAGATAGTGAACCTGAGTGCTCTACTGTGCTTCGTACACCCACTGCATTGAAACCCAAATGTTTTTGCCAACAGTGCATTGTAGTTTGCAAAAAAACAAAGCAATGCAATTTTCCCTTACTAAAATAACACATGCTAAAATGACAAAAGATGTTTGTAAATGGTTGCTTTAAACCAAGCATTGGGTTAAATGCACATTCTTTATTTATTTGTCACTACTTTTAGGTAACTTACTATTTGAATTATTTCAATGGGTATCTGCTAGTAAAACTTAAGAAGTCAATTTAACCTCTAATAACAACATAATAAATATGGCAATATCTACTCAACAACTCATAGAAGGAAGCTTATCATGTATTATTAAATATCATTTTTGGTTTCATCCACCTAAGTTGACCTCAGATATTTTTTCTTTCAGACCACTGGGTGTTAAATACATTTGCTAAAACCTACAATAAAATACAGCCTTTAAGAAAGTAGACTTACCCTCTACATATATCGAGTTATTGGACAGCTTCTGTGATTTATCTACTTAATTATCAATATCTTAATAACATAATTGTTATTCAAAATGCCAAAGGAATAAGTTTTTGCCATGCCTGTTGAATACAGTTGTTAATGAATATATTTAAAATTGTTTGTTTGTAATTAAATACCCAATTTAAAACGTGTGAGAGAATACAACCTGTTCTGTACCAATCAAGATGTATAATTTGACAACCACTTATAAAAGCCATCTTGAAATTCTATACATTAATTACTATTAGTCATTTCAGTTTATGTTTTGTTCTCTCAAGGTGGAGGCATGACGTGTATATTATGGTTAGATTACTACATAATACACTAAATAATCATTTAATGATTATCAAATTCAAACATTAGTTGTCTTTGTTTGTTCAAATCTCAGAATGAATATACTCTTAATTTAATGGTACATTTAGGACACAAATTAGTTCACACCAAATTACTTACACATGGGTAAAGGACTTTCATCACATTAATAAATACAAAGTAGGACTAAACAAATATTCAAATTTAATACAAGTACTCAAAACATTCACCTTTTCTGTCAGAACATAGGCATCAACAATTTCTACAATTTCTTCATAGGCACCTGGTAAGTAAGCACCTGTTTTCCTGACTAGCCATTCTTCTCCACAGAACCTCATTTTACCATCTCGATCTCTTGTCTCTGTGCGAGCACGAAGTTTAAGGGCCTGGTTTGGTTTAATAACACAAGCTTTCACTGTTTCCAAAACTACAACTTCCTTACGAGGAATGTAGGTCCCTATTATCAAATTAGTTCAAACAATAACATTAAACTCAATGTTGTGGCAAAAAAAAAAACTCTTACGTTAATAATGCAATAAAATATATCACAACAAATACTTGTATATAAAATCATGTTTGACTGATATTTTTTTCATATTTCTTTTAATTAGTTAACTGCAAGTTTCAAATCTCTCTTTTGTCTGCCTTAAGTCACTTCCCAAGAGGCTTTTCATTTAATGCCAGATACTATAAGCTAGTTGGATATATGGCAACTAAAAAAATTCAAACTCTGAAAGAAAAATCATATTTATATATTTCTCCCTTGTAGTTAATATTGTAAACTTCATTATTTTACAGCGTATTTTACGAAAGAATACCTACATATTATATACAACTATGCTGAATTCTGAAAACACTATTAGTCATGTGCTTCACTATATAACATATTTTGTTTGATTTTCCAAATCAGTATTTCTAAAATATCAGTAAAGATGCATCAGTATGAAATACACAGGAATATTACATATATACTGATTGTTTCACCTATTGAGAAATTTTACATTCATGCTGTTTTAAAGGTAAAGTCTGTGGTAGACTAGAACTATAGATTTTCCAAAAATTATCAGGAAGGCAGACCTGCAAGGAACTACAGATTCCTTCAGGAAGTAAGGAGAGTGATTCTGATATATTACTTAATTAAGTCTTCCATTTTGTGTAGAATAATGAGACTGAAAAAACAATCTATATTATTGAACAAACACAAGAAAATGCAGCATATATACTTGTGCACCTGAAAAAAAAAAACTTCTATTAGACTGCAGTGCTGTAGTACAGACCTCGATGTCCGAGACCTTAGAGACCAAGATCTTGTAATAAATTACACAAGGAAAAAAAAAGCAAGAATAAAAATTGCATGCAGCAAACAAACTTTATTAACATCTTAACCACAAATATTTTACATGTTAACCTCACAGGCTTTGTTTTAATGTCTCTTTCTGTGAAAAAAATAAAAAAATTATAATGAATGAATAAAAAAAATATTAAAAAGGTCAGCAAATAAAACAAAAGAAAAAAGAAAAACTACTGTTGTTTTTCAAGAGCTTATGGTGTCAGTGGATTCTTTATGATCATTGAAGCCAAACAGGATCATAGCAGATCTACTAGACTTGTTTCAATATCAAGGATATTCTGTTAACGTAGATATGTGCACCAGATGAAGTTCATACAAACTTGTAGTAAGCCTATGTGTATTGCAATGTATAGTAACAATTATTTCTGAATAACAAATGTTATAACTACAGATTGATGTATAGGCAATATAGCAGTTGGTGATGTAATCAAAAATAAGGGAGGCACTATAAACATCATTACGAAGGTGTAGTACCAACTACCAAGGGGTTTTACTTGCAAAACATCTTTGATGCTATCCTGTGCCTCATATGAAGTGCTGTGTAATCGATATTCAGTGCTTAACAATCCTGGGTAGGTCTAAGTACTGGTAAAACTTTTATATTTAGCTTGTCTCATTTTTGAGACTTGTAAAACAGCGATATCTAAATGGTCCAAGATCTTCCAAAGGTTGGTCTTGAGACCTAAAACACTACTAGACTGTACTTTATCCCACAACTTTCTCTCTCTTGAAATTGAATTCTGTAGAACTAAACACAATAACCCTAAACGTAAGTCTTCACTCTATAACCTTCTTGTAAAACTTCCTAAAGAAATCGCGCCCGAATTCAACATGTAAATTCACTTGTTTTTTTTGTCTAGTTCGCAGTTCATCTTGTGAGCTTTGTTCTCTTACTGCACTGATCAGCTGTTACATTTAGACATTATTATGCTCTACCAGGAAAAAAATATTACAATGTACTTTTATCCTGGATTCTACATATTACTGCAATATCCTCTCAGGCAGAATAGACATCACCTACTAAAGAGCAAAGAAAGGAAGTAAGTAGAACAAAGTAATGTTACTAACTTTCTGGACTATGTGTTGTGGCCATTATAACACAGTAACTAAATAATAAAAAATGTTTTTCTTTAAATTTATATATAAATAAATCAAGTAGAAAGCATATGATATATCTGCCTATCACAACCCTATAAGAAAATGGTAAACACACACAGAAGTTATTAATGAATAGTTTGCACAAAACAATGAGTGTGATTTACTACTTTAATGAAGTTTTCAATATAAGTCTATTTTTATGGCAGCTACAGAAACTAGTAAAATTTTTTTCAATCTTACAACAACTTGTACTGATAATATTTGTAGAAATGATACTTATCATACATATCATGAAATCTTTAAGTTTGAGAAAAAACATTATTTATAATTTCAAAGAACTTTTTAGTATGAAACACCCTTACACTACTTCTAAAACACTGTATATATATAATTAATTTTAAATATGCAACAACATATGCATTATTTTCATTCATATGTAATACCCATATTAAAAACTAATTTCTACCTGGTCCTTCGAATAACCATTCATCGCCAGCAACTTTCTTGTCATTACTATCTTCAAAATCTCTCAGTGCCTGTAATCTAAGGGCTGTGTTTGACGGCACAACTTTCAGAAGTGTAACATCCTAAAAATATCACACCAAAAACATACATTGTACACATTAATGTTTTATTCTGTGTGTTTTAACTAAATACTAAAGTCTAGAAAACTTGGTACAAGTTAACTGTTATTGTTAGACCAACAAAATACTGTGCTACCCTCCTTTCTTAAGAAAATACCTTTACATAGATAATTTCGAATCAAAAAGTGTGCATTAACAGAAAATCATCAGAGTGTAATTAACACAGAACTGTCTTAATATAGCATATTTAAGATTTAATGATTTATGTATCATCTTGCTCAAGATCTAGAAATAAAACATTACCTTTTTAAGGAAAGCAACAATATTGTACAATTGAAAAGAACAAAATCAGATGTAATTGTGCCTTTGGAATTCACTAGTATACAGCATGAAAAAATGTCACCATGGAATGATCATATTTTGTGATCAGTTGACACTTTACCTTCACTGTTCAATGAAATTGACCAAAATCCCTAACTGAATTTCCCATTACAAATTTATAATTATTTTTTTATATAAATCTGGTATGTACATTTAATTTTGATTTACTGTACCACAATCAAAGGCTTATTAAGGTTAACTGGCACCCTAGGCCCATAATTTTAGATGTGTCCTTTCCTTTTTGAATGACTAACCAGCAAAATTATCCAACAACATAAAAACAACAATAAATGAAAATGCAAAAAATTCCATGTAAAGTTAACATTTTCCTTAATAAAAATGTATTTTTGATAGATACTCATCTCCATACACAAAAAGTGATTTTCCTCTTGAAATCGAGCTAATCTGCCTGAGAGACTTCCATGCCACCAGCCTTGTGAAAATTCCCACTTAAAATTCATGTGAAATTGCGCTACTGCATGATGACGTATCATGTAGAAAAATCCTCCACCAATAGTAGTGCAACACACCTCCTTGCGCAAATGCTCCCTCTATATTCGCATGCAAAATATGTCATTCTTTGAAGAGACAACAAATGAAGGTGCACTGGGAAAGTAAGGAGGATGGGTGCAAAGATGTATGGAGGTTAGTATCTATCAAAATACACTGCTCAAGTTATTGCACTCTGGATCCAAGTCTTGAAAGCCTACTGATTAATACACCCCTTAACACAATATCTAATGAAAACTCAAGAAAATTAACACTTCAAATAATAACAAAACACTCCATCACTGATTTAGGAAGGAACATGCTTTGATGTAGTAATTTTCATTGTGATTTTTTTAAAGATTTAAAAAGATTGAGTATGTTATATTAAAATGATTTTGAAGCTTCATCATATCACTACAGTTCATGTAACCAAGTCCTGTGATGCTCTAACTGATAATTCTGAATTTTGACAACAACCCTGCAGCATAGTTTTCATTGTAAAAGGCTGAATCATAAGGCTGTCATTTCCAAAGAATACCATACCTCTTTGCTTGCTTTCCATAACCCATCCAGTGTATGAAAATGATGGTTTCCAAGTGGCCATTTAAACAGTTTGATTGTCAGAAACCTATAAGCACTGCATCCAGCAACTTGACCTATATGTCTACATATAAAATAGCACAAAAACCCATTTCATTCTCCAGCTGCTTGAGGTATTCAACAGTTGAATGGGAGGTATGACAGGAAGCCTTATATTGGTGAACACATAACCAGATGGCCTTGTTTTCATATAGAGATCCTTTTTTATAATATTGTGTACTGTTTCCTGGGACATATGGACAGCTTTTTAACAATTACCTTTGTGTTAGTGGATTCTCACTTGTTACAAGATGCTGTGCTTTGCTTACCATGACTGGGATATGACTTGTTGCAAGTCTCTTTCTAGATAATCATGGTCAGTTGATCTGTATTCTTTTGCTTTCCAATGGCATTAAGCACAAGAGATATTCTCATCTTGGAAATTCTACATCCCCAATCTGAATACATCTATGTAATCTTAGTGCATGTAAATTTTGCATCAGAAAGGCCTGTAACATACCCTTCCCAAAAGCAGTCAAATATCATTGGCATCTACCTACTAAATGTCATACAATTTCAAAATATAGTTTTTTGTACAAGCTGTTCCACCACAAATTTACATCAGCTGTGGTTGTAAGGTGACTTGCTTATTTCAGATTCAAAATCATATTAATATAAAATACTCAACCCTCTGTATAAATAATAAATAAATACAATGAGTAAAAAAAAATCACATTTTATCAGGCAGGACACATTATTGGAGAATTTACAGAAAAATATTTAGTTTAACATATATAAGAAATGTAGTCTGTGCTTATTTTCATATGCTTCAACCAAAGTGAAGAATTATTAAGAATGAGCATATTTTTGTCATATGTATAACAAAAATAATAGATTATTGTATAATATAAGAATTTTCATGGTTATATGCAACTTGAGATTGAGAAAAATAAAGTTGCAACAGAATCCTTAAATACAAGTTGTTATCTTTTACACATAAAATGACTTAGTTCTTAGGATGTTTCAGAAAACAAATTTCATAATCGAAACAGAGACTTTATGGTGTAGAATGCCTTAGCTGATAAACAACAAACCTTAAGAATAATGTGCATTTGGCATAATATCACAATAAGACTAATAATAATTTAAATCACATCATTATTTACTGTTCCAGTGTGAGTCTCCAGTAAGAAGAGCATATGACAGTACTTCAACTATGCCTTTTATTGCATGACTCTGTTGGATTACATTGTTAAAATATACAAAGCCTTGATTGAAATATTACCTACATTTAACAGACAACAATTTTTTCCTTATGAAAGTTTAAGCATGACATTTAGTTTCAATAGATATAGATCACTACTAAACTAAATGTCATGCCCTGCCAAAAGAAGACACTCAACACCTTACAACATCCTGTCTCATGAACAATTAATTTAACATTGAGTGAAAGGCCTCATCAGCAGCAACATACAATGAACAAGGTGTAGCCAAAATCTGTTATACTCTCTCTTTTTTTTTATTGGAAACCTATATTGAACCAGTAGTGATTAATGTAATTTAAAATATTATCACTCTAATCATAAACATACATTTCTACTAGAAAACATTTAGTTTTTTCAAAAATGTTGATTCCTGTTTTATCAATTAAAAAAAACAAAAGCCCTGCTCATTCTACATTATTTTATGCAAGAATTACATGATCTTATACATTGAAGTATTATTATAAAACTGTTATTACCAAGTGTAGGATTTCTCCAGGGTATAGAGGAAATGGTTCTTGCTCCAATCTAATTTCCAGGTCTGCATGTTGCAGCTTAACTAGGCCAGCTGCATCATACTGTATTGAATGATCATCTCCACGCACAACAGGGTTTTGTATGACACAGTAGTGGCGTGGTGGTACTATTACCATTTTATCAGGACCAAGAATTACCCTTTATTGTAAAACATGATGGTTAAAATATAGCATTTGCTAAAATTTCCTGTTTTATTACAGTCTTTGTAAATATATAGAGAAAGACATACATATTCTTATACATGTAGACACACACACAAACATAGTCTTATATGTGTAGAGAAAGGTTAATATCACAAAATAATAAGTTTAAGGTACATTTCAGTTCATTTCTGCAACATTACAATTAAACTGATTAGCTATCTGTTAATCAGTTTAATGCATACTAATGTTTACTATAATTTTAAATTTACATGTATCTGCACAAATTTGGCAAGCTTTTAGTAAATATTACAAGGCTGTTATCTGTAAAAAAAACCTGTTTTTGTATTTTAATAAAGTATTTTTCAAAAGATTTTTTTCTGTGAATTTCCAAAGCCTCTCCTGAGTCAACTTGAGTAAAAGATGATTTTCATGCTAAGAATAAAAATACTTGTTATTATCTAATTTTATTACATTTCCATAATCTCTAGAACCTCCTTAATGAATATCTAAAGTTTCTTTTCTGCAAAATGTTATTATATTTTCTCTACCCTAGCACTAACTGTAGTGAAACCGTCAATGTACGGTGAAATGAAAAGCTTAAAAATACAAAATAAAACAAATAATATCATTTTTCCTCTGCACTAACTGCAGTATTGATAAGAAAGTTTCAAATTACTTAATAGTTTCAACCATTAGCCTTTTCCAGTTTCCTTTTAATTTCATGGTCTTATTGCTGTTTTTTTGTACCCAGTGGAGCAATAATCCCTGCATCAAAAGCAAAAAATCACAGCAGAAATCATTTAGCTATTTCCTGTAAAGTTAACTTAAACACCACATGGTTGTCACATGTAATTTTACACATGAGCTCAAGCATGTGAACTTAAAATGTTTTACTGTACTAAAGTTTTGTTATGCTAAGCTAAGAAGTTTCTAATTTTTTCATTTTAAATACTTTTATTACAGAATATATAATATTATATATGAAAACAAGGACCTGTTACTAACAATGTTAATACCCATGCATACTCGAGCTTGTTTACACTTGAGTAAAAACAGACATTCTTCCATAAGCCTCAATCAGTCTCACAAATTTAGACTTTTAGAAAAGAATTCATGTGCTTTCAAATATACATTTGAGAATAAAAAAATTACCAGTCACTAGAACAGAATGTCCTAATCCTAGAATATTTTATCTAGCTTTCTTAGTAAGCTATAAATAAGTAATAAATAATTTAATATTCAGAGCAGCAAAGTATACACATCACATATCAAGTAATTTGGCTGACTAACAGTTTATGTTGGGAAAACTAAACAACAACTTATAAAATTTGTGTATAGGAGAACCTACTTTTTCTATTGGTTATAAACATGTCCATCAGCTATGTACAATTGATTAGAAAACAATCTTAAAAGTCAGAGAGAGGAGGGGTCTTCTCTGATGGGTTTGACATCTTTAATGGTATCTCAACAAGTCAAACAGGTAGTGTTATCAATGATTGATTATCTCAACACTCTGAATTACAACTGGGCAATCAGCAGAATCTGCTAATAAATTCAACATTTGGCTCCTTCATCAATTACATTCAACTAACTGATTACTCTCTTAAAAAAGTAATCTTCCTATTTTCAGCTTGTTTTGAGTTTTTTATTGCCATTTCTAAATTAATGTATTTATCTCCGCTAACAAAAACCTTTCTTGATTTATATTGCCCTCTATCTGAACAAATGTTTGCTTACCACTAACCTCGATACTCCCACTTACTCTGGTGTATGTTAACGTGAGATATCTGCATACTAACATGCAAATGATTATGCTGCAACCCTACACCAATAGGAGTACAACATTACCCCTACCATATCTAGTACTCTCTCCAATCATGCAGCCGTTAACCACTTTGAGATTGGTCATATCACACCAAACCCCACCAGAAGTGTAGAGGACAGGTGAGAAATGTGAGAGGAGGTAAGTATCTATGGGAAATATATTTTCAGTCTAAGAATATGTTAACTTCTGATATCTTACCTCCTCTCACATAAAGCTAGAATCCTACACTGAACAGGTGGAGGACCAGTGAGAAGATGATTCTTCTTTAGGAAGTGCCCAAAGGAAAACCACGGGTTGTGAGAAGGAACTATAAACAACACAACCATGGGAGGCACCACTCCTGAGCCAAGTATACTCATTGCCTGTGAGTAAAGTGTCATTAAATGGGTGGAAACAAAGGAGGGAGAAAAATTACATAAATAATGGGACCCTTGGTGCAGAGTGGCAAGGGAGCAACAGATCGTAAAAGGGAGTTTGACCCCAAACAACACCTGGCAACATCTTGAATTGTACATAAGGCTTGCGGTAGGCAAAAGGTCTTCTACCTTTCACCTAAAAAATGTTACCAGCAGGGAAGAAAAGCTTCAGTACCAACAACCCACAGGCACACACCTCTAAAACCAGATCCACCAGGAACTGAAATCCAGCTAATGGTAGGAAGGAGAAGGGCCCAGTTTGGTGTTCTTCTCCAGTCCAAAACCTGGCAGCATTGGTAATTTTTGAAAATGATAGAAGGTGGGTACCAAACCTCACACCTGTGGAAATTCCTGTGTCTCATCCAGCTCCAACCAACACCAGATCTACAGGGAACCAACATCCAGTGGACAGTAAGAAGGGGGATGGCCATATGGGTTTACTTGCATCTCCAGTCCAAAACCTTGTGGCATGGCAAATTTACCATCCAGTCCGCAGTAGGAGGAGGGTAACCATCCAAACACATGTGAGGACTTGTTTGGCTGGTCCAGCTCCAACCAATACCAGATCCCCAGGAACCGACATCCAGTAGATGACAAGAAGGAGGGTGCCTCAGATGGAGGAGGCAAACTGCAATATATATATATATAGCAAAGTGCTACACCCAACACCTGGTGGCATCTGGAATTAGACATCAGTTCTGTAGTAGGAAGGGCATCATACCATCTACACTGGAAGAGTGCCACTGCTCTACTCTCAACTGAGTGGTATTGTGCACACTCAGGAGGACAGGCCTCCATGGTCTACCACCCTAGTAGCTAGAAACTGGTAAGTGGCAAGGACTCCCATACTCTAGAAGGAGGAGAGAAATAATGCATTGGAGAGTCTGAAGGACTGCAACACTAGAGACAAAGCAATGGGTGACTGAGATACCCTATATAGAAAAGCAGATCAATGATGTTGATGGAGTGCATTATCCTACTCCTGGTGGAATCTGGAATTGTACATCAGGTCCATGGCCGGACAAGCATCAAATGCTACAGATCATCAGAGGTGGGCAACAATCCCTGTCTGCTTTACTCATGTTAGTCCATGACTTTTAAGTCTGGGACGAACATATTTCTGAAGCAAAAGACCATGAGGTACACCTAGGAGCAGTCTTGCAGAACACTCTATCTCCACGGTGGGCATAAAATGACCTGGATATATTTTAGGAAATTGTATTTTGAAAGCCTAAGGAACACAGTGACAGAGTCAATCAACCAACACCTGGCAGCATCTGGAATTGTACAAAAGGTCCACAGTAGGAATACATAGCCACTAACAGAACATTACACAGAGTGATCTGAATTGTTACAAAGACACTTGGAAGGAGATGAATAGGAGGATATGCATATAGGTACCAATCCCGACTGAGAGCATCGACTGCTCCCATCAAAGAATGAGGAACAGAAGACCAAAATCGGGGAAGTTGTATATTGAGATAAATGGCAAAAGCATCCAAATCTGAGACACCCCACCATGCACATAACACCCAATGATGATCCAAAGACCACTTCATAAGGAGAATCATGTTAGGACAGGATAACTGATCCACAACCAGATTCAGGACACCAGAAATATGGCATGCTAACAAAGTTATGTGATAGCTGTGGGCCCAATACAGAAGACCAAATATCTGAAAAAAAGAGGTCTCTCGACTGAGTGCCCCCTTGCCTGGTGATGTATGGGACCAACATAGAATTGTCAGAGTGGACCAGTACTGACCAGCCCCAAAGTAAAGTTTAATGAACAGCAAGAAGTTCCAAGAGACTGATATGGAGAGAGGACTTGGAAAGAGTCCAACACCCGAAAACCTCCTGAGTGTTGAGATATGCCACTCAACCAGAAAGAGAAGCATCCATAAAAAAGTGACATTCTGGACAAGAAGGGGGGAAGGGGAACACCCACAGTAGTATTGTCCCAATCCAACCACCAGGTGAAGTCAGTCTGTAAGGGAGGGAGAGAAAATGGGCATTTAAAGGTTTGTTTATTTGTTTGTAGTTAAGCCCAAAACTACACAATGGGCTATCTGTGCTCTGCTCATCACGATTATCAAAACCCAGTTTCTTGCATTGTAAGTCTGCAGACTAGGGGACAGGCATCTATCTAAGGGATCCCAAACAAGGCTCCATTGGTCTATCAAAATTCACTGAAGATTGTGCATGTGGGCATGACCAAGAGTAATGAGGGCTTCTAGAGAAGCCCACTTCCCCAAAAAAGAAAGAACCTCTTGCACAGTAGGAGAATAAACGGATGAGACGCTGCATATGAAATGTTCCATAGCTCTCAACCAAAGTGGAGAAGGTTGGGCCCAACTTAGGAGGGAGTTGAAAACACACCAGGATGAATCAACTGTTGTGTTGGTGTGAGAAAAGACTTCTCCACTTTGACAAGTCAACTCACCCTGGCAGCTTCCTGGAGAAGAAACTGAATATGTAGGACTTGTGAAGAGACAAGAAGCAGCCAGTTGTCCATGGAAACGAAGGCCTCTGGAATGAAGCAGGCAGACAAAAGCCCTGACAACTTAACAGGTCACACATGGAGATAAGGCAAGTACAAATGAATGTGCCCAAATGTGAAACACACATCCATGATGAACAAAGTAAAGACACTATCTGGCTGCAGGGGAGATGGAGATATGTATCTGATGCATTGACCTTTGTCATTCACAAACCTAGAGTGAAAACACAATGAAGACATTGCGACATTGATCAATTTAATCCTAATTGATTATTTCAATTAATCAAGCTAATCATCCAGCTCTAACCCATTCAGGTATAGAAGTTTCATTGGGAGCCTGAGTTCTCTGTGACATTTGAGGCCTACAAACCACATTAATAATGCCCTGTGTGCACAGAATCCCATCACTTTTGTATTTGCACAACAAGGCAATATCATGTTCATATGGATGTATTACTCTGTCATGTTGAATCCAGAAAGAATACTTACTTGAAACATGGCAAGAATTGAATCTTTGAATGAAGATGACCATCCTTTTCTCTACTGACCCACATGTCAAAAAGGATATTTTCAGACAGATGTTATGTATATGATACTGCCTGCTTCAGTTGACCAGAGAAAATTTTCAGACACCTATGGGAAGTTTAAAACCACAACATCTACTTCAAACTTTTCCCCACAATTAGCCTCTTTTGCATCATGTTTCAGTCTTTTCAATCTGTTGTAATGTATTGAGTTCTTTCATCCTTTTGGAAATGTATTGTGCAACAGAAACATCAGTTTTTACATTTTGTATGAGAGCAGGCCAGTAGCAGTTGCAAAGAGCACAGACAGTTACAGGTTAATAAATACCGTGCACAGTAGCTTCCACTATTTCAATAAATGAACACTTATTGATTCTACCACCCATTTTACTTTTGTGAGAAGTATAGAAAGACTGGGTTTCTCTTACGGATGTGAGTCACATCTCTTTTATTGAAAAAATGGCATGTGGGTTTTCACACCATCTGGATGTTTGTATGAATAAGATACAATGCATCACTAAGTTCTCTATCTACAACAGCCATGACATGCAACTGTCTCTACATACAAAGGTTTTTGGCATTATTTCTAAATCTGCAATGAATAAATTGCTTGCATTATGATTTCACCCATCAGTAATATATGGACCACAGACCAATAAAATGTCAGTGGATACAAACATCACAGGTTTGACAAGTGGCCACTTCTTATGCATACTATACCTTTGCATCTAGAATGCATATTTGACTTATGCATATATATATATATATATATATACACACACACAAACAAATGTGCCATATGCAATTAGGATGACATCTTTGTTCTCTTTAGTCAAAAAGTTCCAAGCAAGATGAACCAATATGTTCAAAGTCTAAGACAGAGAACAAGTCAAGTGTATTGCTCTTTTTTTTACAGAAAAAATATTTTCCAAGGTAGGTCTACTGTTTCTTGATTTTGAACCCTCCCCCCAGGGATTGCAAAGTAATTTTTGTGGGAGGGCCGCAAAGCTACTAAACACAACACTGACTTTAATGTTTTCAAGAAGCATATTCAGGTTTTGCTGACTTCTAACTTATGATGCCAGTTAGCTGGATATAGAAGGTTCTTTTCTTTTGTGTGTGCATGGTTTATATCTAATCATTTCAGTATTATTCCATTTCATGATATTGTTTTCTCTGGCAAGATGGGCTATTGCAGTTAGATCATTACTATAGTCTTTTATGTTTATTATGCCCCTCAGACCCGAATTCTGATTTTTGTTTATGTTTTTGTTTCTTCAATTTATCAGAGTCGACATTCACAAAGGATATTGTACACGACATTCTTGCTAAACACATTGTGTTGTGATTTGTGAATACCGTTCTACATTTATATTGCTTACATTTTTATGTATATTTATTATTGAGACCTTTGACATATTGGAAAATGGTTGTTTTTCCTGTGTCTTCCTGCTTATACATGATGTTTATCTCCTATCTTTTCTTCATCAAGTATTCAGAGCACCCACTATCAAGGAAGATTGTAAATGATGTATTTTTTTTCTTCTTCTTAGGATCTTCTGTATTACAAATCCTGTTCAATCTAGAAACTAGGTAGTCTTTGATGGCCACTTATATACTGTTGTAATAATTTAGTCTATATTCAAGGTATTCATCTATATCTTTGGAGGTTACAGGAAATCCATAGATACAGGTAAATACATTTATTTTTTACCACAAGACTTTAAAAATGTAAAAACAGATGTCACAAACTGACTAATCTCTAGACTGAAAAAAGTTTGTACTTCCAAAGCATGAAATGAAAAAAATAAATGGAGAAACAGATTTTGTTATGAGCAGTTTATGAAGCTTTAAAATATACAATATTTATTCAATGCAATTAATGAAAATTGGAATAAAATGTCCCTTATTATTATTAAAATAATATTGATACATTTTATTAGTTAAGATATTATTAAGGAATTACATGTGTCATTGCAACTAGGCTTATATCCTACATTTGTTTTTAGGTGTACCATGGAAAAGCTGACGTCTTGAATTCTCAAAGATGAAAGAGCTGCTGACATTACATAGTAGGGAGGTGGCTTAATGTGTTTTCTTTGGTAAAGTGATATTCTAGTGTGAACATGTTTCCAGTTACCAAAACAAGATACTTATAAGATGATGGTTCAAGACAGCACTAATGTTTGTGTGTTCCCTAAGTAAGCTAAACTATACTGTTTATTTATTGTTGCTTTCATTAACAATATTGGTTATACTGCTTATTACATCAAATGTCATTAATTTTTTATTTATTGTTTATTATTAAACTTTTATCACAGAGGTTGTTGTTTTGTATTGTTAGCTTATAATGTGTGTATTTAGGACTAACCTAAATCTTCTAAGCTGGTTGAACCTCATGAGATATTATTGGGATTATGGCTGAAAATATTGTTAATAGTGAGAGTACTAAACTGATGAAACAACACATTCTAATCTTTTTTTAAGTAGAAAAGAGAGAAAGGTATATTTAACGAGTTATAGTGATGGCCAAGTTAATTTTAAGTTTCATTCTAAGTACATAGCTTATTCTGTTTGAAAGTTGTTATTATTATTATCATACATCATTAAGCCTGTATCCAGATCTAACAATCATCACCCCTTTCTAAAATTCTGTACCCACCCCTAAAGTTAACTAGCACAGAAGCCAGCAAAATTTAGATACTCCTCTTATAAGTAAATGATTTATGTCCTCAGGGAGAATACCCTGTAACAGTGTATAGCATTGCAACTTTTCTAACAAGAAGAACCAGGACTGAATGATGGCCACCACAACAACCACACACAATCCTTCTCAGAATTTCCTTCAAAACAGCATCAAATTAGTAACTGAACCACTAATAATAACAATAATAACACAGGCCTATGAAGTTAAACATCATAAAAGTTGTTTTGATTTTAATTTTGAAAATAATATTAATTTTTTTCTATCACATAAGGATTTTATACAAATTGGGAAAAAGAACTCTTATTTAAATCAAATTAACATTTTGTTTACCACAATGAAAATTTTTTACTATTATGTTTGTTAACAAAAATACAAACAAACTGAAGAAAAAAGAACACTGATGCCAAACAAATATGCATCCTCATTCATCCAGAGTTTTCTGTGGTTTTTCTTTTATGTATTGCATTATGATGTTTTGTGAAAAATCTGTATCTGAGGAAAATGGATATCATTTTTGGATTCAGCATACAGGAATTACTGTAGAACATGTAAAAATTTCAAGACAATAAAACCATCGCAGGCCTGTGTAACTAGTAACAAATTAATAATTAATTTAGGTATTCATACGAGCTATTAACCATGACAACAGTTAATGTCATATTACCACAACCTTACTGTATGTCCATAGCTGTATAATTATATCTAAATATTTTTTATTTACAAAAAATTTCTTTCACATACATATTTCCAAGTATCCATATATCAAGTGCATTTCTTTACAGCTCTCAACATTAAAAACCCATTTTCAATTTCAATGAAGACAAAATAAATATATTTTATACTAACCTTTCATTATCTTTCCTAATGTAAGTTTGTGGTCCAACTTCTACTCTTGTTACATTTGATGTCTGGTCTAGAACATGGAGGTAGTAAAATGGTGGAATACGATAAATGCTACTATCATCAGACTGCCCCTTTTGATTCACTTTTGATCCAGCCATCTCAGCAAAAATTGTGGACAAAAACTATTGAAATTCTCTACTATAAATTCAGAAAAAAAACAAACAGAAAAGTTAGAATGTTAACTTCCTAAAGTCAGTATTTGTTTAGTTTAAACTATGTCTATGTTTATACAACAAAATGATTTTTAATTACCAATACAAAAATAATAACCAATTAATATTCTTTTACAGATAATTTTGGCAGAGTCTTCATAATGAACAAACTTGAAATGGGCTGCAACTGCACAGTTCAGAGTGACACTTTGTTGGTTCAACCAATTAACATGTTACAAAAATGCTGAAAAATTATATGGTAAATGATAACAGATGGTTTTAATTTTTGGTAAACTAATAAACAAAAATAGTTTTAAGGTTTTCCTTCACCTTTATACAGGTATTGAAAGGATGTTCCATGTGTATTTTTCGAGACTGGTAAATAAAATGTTCTAAAAATAACAACTTCTTGAAAAAGTCGAGACATTAAAAATTTAATTACAAGTTAAAATTAGGCCACTTATTGAACAGTTTTTATTAAATGAATTTTAAAAAGTTACTTTCTCAACATGAAATTCAGTTATTGTATAAAAATTATATCATTAAAGTGTTCAATCTTTTGTACATAGTTACTCACCATCAGATATGAGTGGTTAATCTTTTTTGATTTTGGTTTTACAATGTAATATTTTTTTTAATGTTTTTTATGGAAACACGCAATTTTGTCGTAATTTTAAGATGTCATAAAATAAAACCAATCATAAGTAGATTCAAATCCACAAGGTTAACCACTTCAATTATGTTTATGATTTACTCTTAAAATGATAAATCTCTTTAAGTAATACAATTTTTTTATGAGAGATGAACTAGAAAGTGCCCATAGAAAATCCATTGAGGCTTAGTTTGCATAAAATCTCATAGATGGCAGCCACCTCAAAATTTCATTTTTTTTTTGTCATCAATTGCATTGATCAGGTCTGGTCTTACCTAGAATCATTACAGGGAAAAATAACTTATTACTTTAAATTTTGTTCATATAATTTTGTATGCATTCATTATTACGCACTTAGATACTGTCTAATAGCTTATTTTTTGATAATGTCTTGAAAGAGAAAAAACATTCTGGTAAAGATTATCTGGTGCATAAGATGAGTCATAGTTTTGTTATTATATTTACATGTACACACACACACAAGCAATAAAAAATAAATATTGATAGAGGTTTGTTTGTTTGTAATTAAGCACAAAGCTACACAATTGGTTATTGGTGCTCTGCTCACCACGGGTATCGAAAACCCAGTTTCTAACATTGTAGCTACTTACAGCTTTATTTTTAGAGATAGCTCATTGATATTTTATCTCATTTATTTTCACTGTATTGCTTGTGAGTATCATTCATGTAACGTTCAGTGTTGGTTAGGGAGACAATGCTTGGTATTGGCTAATGAAATAGTAACCCAGGCAACATAGTGGCCACTTGTCCCCAACTGTTATGGCAGTCACGTGTGAAGTTTTACACACTGATTTGAAATCAGGCAGAAATGCTTTTGGTATAGGACCACTTATTTTTCAGTTCATGATCATTAATGAAAAAAAATCTCATAAACTACTACGTATAATGAACTATAGATGTAAACTTTTTCATTTTACACAATAATATAAACTATTTATATGTAAAGATTTTACACGTGTTTATAGTTTTATATCATCTATCTTCAGTTCACAAATATCTTCTAAATATTGTCATTACTGAAATCCTCACAGAAAACTAGCAAGTGGTTTTCTAAAACAGCTTATTAAGTAGTTATGAATATTCCTGCATTTTAAAAATCATAGTTGTAAATAAGTCTTGGAATTTTCCTCATGCTTTATGTAATTGTAATTATGTGTAGATTGCCAAGTTTTATTAGTTCTCAAGAAGTACAGTTTTATATATCTATTAGTAATTGATCTTTTTTCATTTATCTATGATATTGTTGGTTTCCAGTGGTTCACTACTAATTAGACAATGTAATTGTAACTTGCTTCAGGCATGTTACTTGACCTGACAGTGTGAAAAATGGGACATTTCCAACTTGATCTCAGTTGTGAAGGTGATAGCTTTCCTGTAATATGGAAAATGAAACCGATACAACAAATAACTGTGATCTCACTATGCATACAAAGTCGGCATTTTTACATACGTAAATATATATATACACAATATAAAAAAACTAGTAATTTGTATTGCAGAAGATCTTTAAGTTTTGTTTGTGGCATGTATGAATACGACTAAGAAGGGACTGTGAACATAGGCTTCATTTTCTACATGGTAACAAATTGTGTTGCATAATGGCTTACCAGGCGATACCTTTAATGTGCAATGTATCTTACACTAACTTTCTTCACTTGAAGCATTTTGAATATATATTATAAGGTCCATCTCAAAATATAGGTTTAGTATATTCACAAAAAAGTGTCTGGACAGCATGTTCTGTGCAAGTGAAGTTCTGTAGGCTCATATATCACTGAACTAAACATCAGAAAATAATTCAAGTTTTTTATTTTTACTTCATTTATTTTTAGCCTACTCAGTTAAGAAAATTTGGAATAAGAATTCAGATCCAATATAAATTTAGCTTTACCATATAATATTTAATTTGCATGTGAGGTACATCTGTCATACAGAACAATACACACTACAAAGATAAATCTATAAAACAACCCAAACTTATTCTTCATATTGTTATGAAATCAAGAATACTAAATATTACTGAACAATTCTCTGTAGATCACTAATAAACTTGAGGATTAGTAGTCTGTCTGTGTTGTTTATTATTGGCAATAAATTGTTATTGTTACTAGTTTTATGTTTCCATAGGTGCTATGATTGGCTTGTATGTATTCCAAAATATTAGCTTGACCTGTGGATACTATGATTGGCTTGTATGCATTCCTAAATATTAGCTTGACCAAATGTTGAGAAACAATCGTAATAGCATACAAGTTCTAATAGGAAGAATTAGTTACATACATGTCATGTGATACCTTATCCATGCAATAGGCATAGTACTGTACATAGGCTCTGCCTCTACACTGGATCATCAACTAATTGCAATATAACATATTCATGCATTTATGCCATCTATTAGTGTTAATCAGTAACAGTGGACTCTGAAGGAAAACCTTAAGTACTAGCAATTAATTTATAAAAAGGTAGAAAAAATCTTAAGTTATGGAAACTTGTATAAATTTAGCTGTTGAATTAACCTGACAGTTCAGTTATAATAATTATCACCAATAGCTAAAATATTCTCTACCTATTTATGAGTTATCGATGGCTATAGTGATTTTTGTTTTCATTATTAATATAAGCTAAAACTAACAAGAAGTAATTTCCATTTTTTATCTTCTATTTTTATATTTTGGTCATCAGTATCATATGTAAAATATTTTGAAGAAGATGGATGTGTTTGTAAAGATCATCAGGCCAAACTCTTAACAAACTGAACCTCCTCACAATACTAAATGTGCAAATACTATAAGTTTGTAGTTGAAATAAAAAATCTTCACCAGAGAGAACAAGTTTCTGTTTTTTTTTCAAAGTTTAAAGATGACATTGTGCACTGTATCATGATGATGATAGACTACAATACACTGCACAGTGTAGCATACATATAGTATGTGATTAGCACTACTGGGCATAAAAAACAGTTTATTTTCAAAAAGTTATAGTATTAAGACTAGAAATAAACAACCTTACAACACCAAAATGTTTTTATTTAATTAGACACTCAATATTTCGCTTTACATCTTCTTCAGGAGCATTCACTAAAACATAAACTGAAATTGACAGTACAAAGCTTTAAATGGTCATTTATTTCTAGTATTAATATGTCTTCTATACATCAATATGCACTACAGAAATTTAATAAAAAAAATTATATTAGTTTTTTTAATATAGTGATTCTTTCTGAGAAATGACTAATTTTTATGTACAGAATAGCCACCTTCTTAAGACTTAAAAAAAAATCCATTAAGAAATCAACATTTCACAAATTTACTAATTTACATGTTTCAAATTTTTATGATTTATCTATTTTTCTTTTTTATCTGTATCATAATAAACAATTTTACAGTAATGACATATTTTAATTTGATAATATTTCTAAGATGATCACAGTAACTATGAGCTTGTTAACAAAAATCAACAAGTTTAAAGAATGATAAGGCTCCTGAACATTATAACATTTCACCAAGGGTTTGAAGGAGGTTAAGGATTGGGTATGTGAGTCTTGAATAGTGGGCAGGTGCCAGAATATTGTAAGTTGGCTATAGTTACTCCTCTTTTCAAGTGAGTTGATAAAAATTGTACAGGTAATTATAGGCCTACTAATTTTACATTGGTGGGAAAAGTTTTTAAAAGTCTCATAAAAGATGCTTTGCAAATTCATTGAACAAAGTTTAAAATTTTTTGGATAGTCAACATGGTTTCACCAGTGACAAATTTTGTTGGTTGTGATGAGGACTTTGCTACTTTACAAAAGGATTTAGATTATTTGTTGAATTGGGTGAATAAATGGCAGATGTATTTTAAAATGTAATTATAATAAATGTAAAGTAAACCACATGGATTATCATAACTTAAGTTATAAGTATAATTTTGATGGGAACAGCCTTCACAGCATCACGGAAGAAAAGGATCTTGGTGTTTTAGTTGATCAATCTCTTAAGCCTTCCAGGCAGCATGTTTTTGCCAGTAAAAAAGCAAATAGGATTTTGGGTTGTGTCTAGAGGAATCTATATAAATATAATAGTACTGTATGTTGTATGTACATGAAACTACTTCACAGGTTATGGAGGTTCAACAGATCCATGGGAAGACACATACTAATTTTCAGTTTTATATTTTGTGTTTTTTATGGGCAATTTTTACCACTACCTCACCTGCTGTGGATGGATCTTCACCAAATTTAGTATGCAGGTTCATTGGATCTATGCAGAGATACATGCAAACTTCCAGTTTCACATTTTGTGTTTTGCAGTTTTTATGGGTGTTTTTGCATTTATTCACAATTGCATATAATGGAAGCAACTTTTCATGTCCTAAGATAACCTTTCATTAATCATGAATTTACATAACTTCCTTCCAGGGGACAAGTTCTCCAGCTAGTACTGAATACTTTTTGTACAAATATCTGGTTATGACTCACTTGCAGAATACTGTAATTATGTATACAATATTCAATTTAATGTCCTGTGTTTTACTATTATAATTATTATTTTATGAGTTAAATTTTCTTTTAATTATGCATTTTAAATTTTCATTTTGTTTAAATCCTACTTCATAATTTTAATTTTGTTTACTTTTATCCATAATGTGTTAATTTCATTTCATGTGTTCATCTGACTAGCTGTTGAGCTTTCTTAATGACTTCATTTTAATTTTCTATTTTGAATTGTAATTTTTATTTATTTTATACTTTAGTTGCACTTATTATTTGTAATTATGGTTTTGATGTTTTGTATTTTGAGTTGCATTATGAATTTGATTTTATTTGTCTTTCATTTTAATTTACTGCTTGGTGGAGTTTTTGTGTTAACCCTTTGTTGTCTTTGTTTAGATTTCATGGCCTCTTAACTTTAAAATTTGACCTTTAGTGTTTTATTCTGGTGTGTCTGGAAGACCCTGAGATAATGAACTGGTGGAGTGGAGGGGGATTGTGATGGCTGCAATAGGTATTAATTTCATCATTCTATAATAAGTTTTTCTTTATATAGGATTAGGAGATCATACATGTATTTATACAAATTGGTATGAGCCAGGGGTATGCTATCTTGTATATGTTACTTGGGACAGTCATTGATGTACATAGCTTTGAGTTATATGGAATATCACATTTGGACCCTAGGCATGAAATGAGAGTGTGATAAATCATAATTCTTTATGACCTTGTCCCATGTGGACACTTTAGGAAAGCTTCCGCTTTACCCCACAACCAGTGTAGTCATTACTGGGAACATAGAAGCTGCCTGGCAGATAAATACACAAACATATCTGTGAATAAAGATTTTGTTTATTTGTTCACTTACATCTATTTGTGTTTCTCTTGCTGTCCATGTTTCGAATTATTCTCTGCAGAAGATTCACAGAATCGAAATCTAACTACCTGGAGGATATGTTCTGCTAATTGCAATGTTTATTTTGACATCACCTTCCTCATGGGCCAGCTCTGTATCTGAATACCACAGAGGTAGCTTCAGGGAACATTGAATGAAGACAGCAAACTAGCAGCAAAGCAACAGACATATTGGTTACAAGTCAAAAGATGTGATTATGTCTTTCCAGGTGAGTTACTAGTTAGGCCTTATTTGGAATATTTTATACATTCTTGGTCTCTTTATCTAAGAAAGGATATTGATTCATTGGAAAAGGTTCAGAGAAGGGTTACTAGGATGATTTTAGAAATGAATAGTTTATCACATAGGGAAAGGTTAAGATTTCTTATTTTTCTCAAGTAAAAAAAAAAAGAGTGAGAGGTGAACTCATTAAAGTTTAGAATATTATCTAGGAAATTCATGGAATAAATGTCTTCAATTTTTTGTGATGTATTCTGAATTCATTTGTGTGTGTGTTTTTTTTTTTGCACAAAGCTACACAATGGGCTAGCTGAACTAGGATATTAGAGTTGTAAGGCAAGAGACTTACCACTGACCCACCAAGAGATATTCCCAAAACAATATGAAGAGAGAACACAAGCTTAAGATTTTGAAAAGACAGGCTATGCTCCAGTAAGATTGTTTTATTTTGTAAACGTGATTGGATAATGGAATACATTGCCATTGGCAATAGTGGAGGCTGCAGTACATTATGGGAGTTTAAGAGAGGAATGAATTACTTCCTGAAAAATAAAAGGTGCAGTTAAAGTTTTTCTTTTCTCCATGGTGGGAGTGCAAGGACAGTATTGAAGAATTAAATGGTTCTTTGTTGTCCATATGCTATATTATTTTGAAATTCTTAAAGTACTTTAACCACTTAAGTAGCATCATTTGTGACATAACTTAGTTTCTTATCATTTACAAGATTTAAAACATTAGACTGATCATGAACTTCATGATCCCCAGCTACTATATTGATAAAACATATGTTGCCACAAACTTATATTTGTGTTGTATTTACTTTAATACCAACATTCTTTTGAAGCTTGAAAATTGCACCTTGAGTGGTAGAAACTGTAATATTATACGAGTTTAACAGTTTAAGAAAAGGACTGAATATTTGGAGGATCAGGACAATTTTTTTTGTTGTTGTTGAAGGATGTTGGGAGTCAGGATATACTTGATGAATCTAGGATAAAGTCCTTTTTAATTTTAGAATAACTTTTCATTAAAAATAATATTAATTTGATAATATTGCTTATATATTATGGGACATAAAACTAAAAATAATTAATGCTGCTCATTGAATGTACCTCTATTATAGCAAGAGCATAATAACTTAAGACCATGCGGTCTTACAAGTTACAACTATATTAACAATTTCGATGAGAGGAACCCACTTTGAGACTAATAATGCTTGGAGACGGCT